ACCGGGCTCATTAGAGTTGGTAGGCGTCTACGGCGGAGTGAAATGGTTGATGCTGTTCATCCCATAATACTAGAACCCAAACATCCCCTGAGTCAGCTACTCATACAGCGTTTAGATGAAAAATTGCATCACCCCGGTCCTGAAAGAGTATATGCTGAGATCCGCCGACAATATTGGATTTTGAGGGGACGATAGGCTGTAAGATATCAACATAAGTGTACTGAGTGTAGAAAATGGAGAGGCAAACCTGAGATCCCACATATGGCTGATTAACCCCCTGCTCACCTTCGACTTTACAAACCTGCATTCTATTCAACTGGTTTGGACTGTTTCGGACCTTTCATAATCAAAGGGGGGCAGCACAACGAGAAACGGTGGGGAATTATCTTTAAATGTATGACGACTAGAGTGGTATACATTGATGTGCTAACCAACATCAGCTCGGACTAATTCCTCATGGCTCTACGCCGATTCATTGCTCGAAGAGGAAAACCCCATGAGCTCTTTTCAGACCAGGGTACTAATTTCAAGGGGGGTGAGAGAGAAATAACAGAAGCATTCAACAACTTGCAACCTACCCTGAAAAGCCAACTTGCAAAGCAACAAATTGAGTTTCACTTTAACCCACATGGAGCTCCCCATTTTGGGGGTATATGGAAAAGAGAAATCAGATCACTGAAAGCTGCACTCAACCAGACGCTTGGAGCACAACATGTGTCAGAGGAAGTACTAACAACAGTGCTTGTAGAGATTGAGGGAATTCTCAATTCCAAGCCGTTGGGCTATGTACCATCTGATGTTTGGTTGAAATTGACCCTATAACTCCAAATAGCCTTCTAATGGGGCGGCCTGACTCCAGCTTGCCACAAGTCGTCTATCCAAAAACAGAACTAATGAGCAAGAAGCAATGGAGACACAATCAAATACTGGCAAATCATTTCTGGGCACACTTCATAAAGTGCTATCTGCCTCAACTACAGACCCGGGCAAAATGGATGACTGACAAGGCCAAGAATCTGGAGAAAGGGACAGTAGTGATAATAATCGATTCACAACTTCCCAGAGCTCTCTGGCTTGTGGGTAAGATTACTGACACAATACCTGGAGCAGATGGGTGTATAAGAACTGCTGAAGTACAAGTGGGTGATCGCAAATATGTTAGACCTGTGAGTAAATTGATTCGTTTACCACAGTTACCAGATGATGATAATTCTTAGGCCTTTTCTGTAGTAAATTTACTAAGTAAATTAGGGCGGCTGTTGAAAAGGCCAGGTATATCTGGCATTCTAATTTGATGCTGGTTTGATTGACAGCTGGGTCTGGCCTGCCCAGAAGACGCATTATCATTTCCGTTCCTGTAGCCGGACATTGCAGTTCAATACATTCTGGCTAACAGCTTGATGCAGTGGCTTATTGTGTGTGCGTCACGAGAAGTAAGTGTTCATGCCTTCTGTCTGTGTGCTTCTAACACTTACTATATGGGTTTAGTGTTGTAACGCAAACTTTGAATGAAGATCGAACCGCATGGTTTCATTTAAATCATCAACGCGGGTGGTGCGTGATTCCGAGCAAATGCCATTATTAACAATGCACATGTTATCCCGCAAGTTTATATACCATTGAATTGTGTTGATATGTAAATTAGTGAAGTGTTAAGCAATGTAAATGCCATGTTTACTCAGTATTTGGGCATTGGATCTGTCTCACATTTATGTGTTTACTCATGCATATTTAGACCTGATGCTCTGTTAATCTTTACTTTTATGCCATAACTGATGTTATATATATTATGTCATGTTATATTGTTCTGTATATTATACAAATTGCAGTTTAATCATTGTGGTATAGTTCTCTCTTGTTTCTAGAAAATACCACACACACACATGCATGTGCCTTTATGACTGCAAATAAATGCTGCAAAAAAATCAGCTAACTACAAAGCCTGACTTGTGCGCTCTTACCGACGCCCCCTGGTGATCACATCATAAATAGTAAAGCCAGTGCCATTTAATAAACTCACCAACATAATATTAAAACTACACATAATATAATAATTAATACATTATTATTGTAATAAAAATGTGGAGAAAGCAAATTTACAGAAAATATATAAAGTGCACAATTGCTCTAACAGTTTTTCTCAGTTGTTTACACACATTTTCTGAAAGCATATCTCATCAGAACTCTACACACAAATCACTAAACGCACACACATTGGGCTTCTGTGTTCTCTTCAATTGTACTGCAAAATGAAACCCTACATTCAAAACAATGTGATTTCTTCTCTAAATGATATTTTGTTTTCAAATGACACACACAAGCCATCACATCAATAGACAATTATAAGAACAGTTGAACACTTATGTGCTTAATGTAAAACACTATGACCACTTCTTCTCCATTCATCATAATGATTGTAAGTCTTTTTTTTTTTTTTTGTCCAGTGTTACAATTACTACATAAGCCTTCAGAAGTGCATTGTAAAATATTTCAGAATATTGTTTTTATACAAAACAAACAGATATCAAATATATTTTACTGTATTTTCCCCACAAATACAGTGTACACAGTTATCCTCAACCAACACAAAGTTATACATAACGTGGTCTACATATGACATCAACAGAAGTGTTTACTAAATACAGTTACAGTAAAAAATAAAATAAATAAATAAACAAATAAATAAATAAGCTATACTGCATCCTCCTGGCCAAGCAGTGGGGGGAAATGTCACCTTGCATGGCGAACCCAACCACGAAAAGTATCAACTGCTATAGCTTGAAGAAGAAAAAAAAGTGTATTTTAAATCTGCAATTTGAGTGTAAAGCAGGAATTGTGCTTGTGGTTTAGCAGAATTGGTTCAGGGGGTTGGTGCATCAGTCTGAAGTACAAGTAATTGTGTGTAAACAATTGGGAGAAACTATAACTAGCAAATAAATATTTTAGTTTCCATGGGTGATCATATTTGTGGGCTACATTTGAATTAAATATAATGTAGCATTTAAGATTACTTAACATATTTATTTATTATTTTAGATAAAAAAAGTCACATATGTTCAACATTTTTGCATATCATATGAAAATGAAATATTAATTAATTTCATGAATACGTTTTCCACGTTTATTGCTCTTTAATCTATAAAATAGCTTTGTAATGTTTGTTGGATACAAAACAGATATTAAAGTAGTATTGTTTTAATCACATTGGCATTTCTGTGTGGAGTTTGCATGTTTTCCCTATGTTCGCGTGGGTTTCCTTCAGATGCTCCGGTTTCCCTCACAAGTCCAAAGACATGTGGTATAGGTGAATTGGGTAGCTAAATTGTCCATAGTATGCGTATGGAAATTTCCCAGTGATGAGTTGCAGCTGGAAGGGCGTCTGCTGAGTAAAATATATGCTGGATAAGTTGGCAGTACATTCCGCAGTGGCGACCCCCGATTAATAAAGGGACTAAGCTGAAAATCAATGAAACTAATCATCATCATTGAAGGCATCACAACATTGAACGCTAGAGGGCACTGTAAACAAACGGAAATATCAGAAAGATTTTTATGAATCTCATCTGAACCGTGTGTGCGTGCTGCGCGCGCTTGTGTGTATGTGTGTGTACATTTAACTTAAAATTAAAGCTATAGCTGAGGTTAGCTATTTTGAGGCTATTTGTGGAATATTTTTAGCGATTCCAAAGGTTACTGCAAATTATTATATAGCACCAATAACACACTGCTGTTGCTGTAGCCTATAAAAAATAACAATAATACACTGTTGTCTAAATAAAAGCTTTAGAGATACCAAATATATCATAAATAATAATTTAATGTATTTTATTAAAAAGGAAAAAATGATTCATAATGTTAATATTTTTATACCACGTTTTATGCAATTGGTGACTTATCTAGTTTTTAATTGATTATATGCTTAATCTTTACTCGGACAATGTCTTTAGTAAATATTTGATAAAATGCTACTAAAACTCTAAGCGGATGTACATTCAGTTATTCAGTATTCAGCAGACTTTCAGTCAGCAAAAAAGGAAAAAATACTATAATTAAAATCACCAATATTCTATGTTTACCAATTTAAAAAAAAAATAAAGATTTTTTTTTGTTATTTGCATTGTTAGAAAAAAATAATAGAGTAGAAAAGTAGACAATAAGTAGAAAAAAATAGAAAAATTGATATTGAAAATATTTTTAAGCTTTTTCTGTTGACCACAAAAGAAGATAAAACAGCAACCGGATATGATATGATGATATGAATGCCAATGGCTGCATTATCAACATTCTTTTCAAATCCATAAAAGTTTAGAACCACTTGATGAGAAAATGATGAGGAAATGTTAATTTTTGGGTGAACTATCCCTTTAAGTTCTTTCTAAAATACACTTTAAGCCCAAAACTCAAAACTATTCTGAAAAATTCAAATTCAATTATTTTGTTTTATTGTTGTATCTACATTTTAAAAACCACACTTGCCATTTAACCAAAAAATTCCCAATAAAAAAAAAAGTCCAGATGAACATAAATTGCTGACCCAGCTCTTGCATATAAAAGTTCTCCAGTGTTTTTGAAAACAAAATCAGCTTTCAAACATGAATCACAGGAAGTTATCACAAAAACGTCATCCCTTTTCCCGACTTCTAATGACTCATTGAAAACAATACATGCAGAGTCAAAATGTTCTTTTCCCTATTCTGTTTGTGATGTTCAAACTGTTAAGGATCTTTGACACCGACTTACCTCTAAAGTCCCATAAAGATCATTATCTTTAGTTATTAACCACAAGAATGGGTAGGAAAACACAAGTGCATGTCATCCGATTCTCAATCTCTGATAAGACATTAATTATTGCCATGCGCAGAGTCTTCTTTCCACATTATTCAGCTGACGAGACATTTTCTGCATCTTCATAGATGGACTGGTGGGATGATGCCAAAGTCCACTACATATACCCGTCCCTTTCAGACAGAGAGTCCTTATCTCTGTGCAGTCTAGCCCATCAGAGACTGAGCCACCGGAGATCATGAAGCTGAAGCTGGTGCTGCCGAACCCGGGTCTTGAGGAGCGGATCTTGAACCATGAGGCGCTGGAGAGGCTGGAGGTGGAGGAGGCTGGAGACAGACCCAAGTGGGACAACAAAGCCCAATACATGCTGACCTGCGTGGGCTTCTGTGTGGGGTTGGGCAATGTCTGGCGGTTCCCCTACTTGTGCCAGAGCCATGGAGGAGGTGAGGGGTTTAACCTTCATTAAAATTCTCATTGGAAAAAACATGGAGTGTCAGTACAAGGGGTTATTACAAGACCTTTCGACTTTTATGTTTAAGTGATCTGCACCAATTTAAATATTTTTGATTTGACGTGTTTTATATATTTTATTATTTTATATTTTACTTTATTTTATCTGCATTCAGCTGAAAAGTTTGTCTTATTTCCCAAAGAATGTAAAATTACAAACCTCAAAATTAAAATATTTATATGAGTGCAGGTATTTTTATTTATATGTTTTTTATCATTTGGGGAAACAATATGACGAATGTTTCAGCTCAACCCCGATAAAATAAAGTTGAGCTGAAATGTTTGTGGTTTTGTTTCCCAAAGAATGTAAAATAAAAAACGTCAAAATGTTAAGATTTAAATGAGCACAAATCACTTGGTTACCTCTTGAAACAAGTTATACAGTATATAAGATGAGTGCACCGGTGGATACTACACTACTGATGTTATATGTTGCAATTATATATGTTGCAATGTCAGTGAAGTTAGAATACACTGTAAAACATATTTGACCATGACAACATATGTTTTTATGTAGCTTTAACTTATTTTTTAAGTTATGCAAATTTTAACTTTAAGTCAGTTTAATTGATGTAAGTTGAAGTGATAAGTAAAGTTAGTTTGGTTAAACAAAAACATGTAAGGCAGCCACAATTTTAAAAAATTTTTTCTCACAAAACAAAGGGATATTTGCATTTTGAATGCACTAAAAAAAAAAAATCGTAAAAAAAAGGTCAAATGACTGGCATTTGAGGCTACGGCTGCATAACAAAAACCAAAAAATTACGTTAAAATTTCTTTGTTAAAATACAGTGCAAAAAAGAATAATATACAAATATTTTTATTAAAATGTTTACAGAAAAACACTGTTATTTTACAGATATTTTCTAGATTATTCCGATCAAATCCACTGAATAAATTTACACAATAAGAGTTTTACAGAGAAACACTGTTATTTTACAGACTTTACCTAGATTATTATGAACAACATCAATAAAGTGACTGCACTAAAAGTTAAAGAGAAAACAATGTTATTTAAAAGAATTTTCATTAAGAATTAAATCATTATGATTAAACGCCTTTAATAAAATGCCAAGACATGCTCATGGTCGTGATTTAACAGTTTTATTTTGGATCAAAAAAGTTTGGAAAAACAACAAACAAGATAAAACTGATTAAATAATAAATAAGTAACAGTATATATAAATAGCATAAATAAATAGGTAACAGTATAACTAGACTTAGCAATTGGTGCGTGCATCTGTGTTGCTTTTAAAGTCCATGTAATCAGTTCATAACATTCCTCTGACTGAGCAATTAGCGGAATCCGGAACAGGTGCATATGAGCGCTCTTAGTGTGTAACTTTATTCAATGGATTTGATCGTAATAATCTAGGAAATATCTGTAAAATAACAGTGTTTTTCTGTAAACATTTTAATGAAAATATCTGTAGATTTATAATTTATTGCACTTAATTTCAACAAAGAAATTTTAGCGTAATTTTATGGTTTTTGTTTTGTAGCTGCCAGTCATTTGACCTTTTTTTACTATCTTTTTTTTTTTTTTTTACAGTGCACGTAATTACAATTTAATTTTACATAATTTTAAATGTTCTTCAAAAAACAGGAAAAAAACAGTATAAAAATACTGCAATTTTATTGTATAAAACAGACAAATTGCTGTAATTTGTCATTACTTATATAGTACATAAAATAACAGTCAAGCTGTTAATTTACAGTTTGTCATTTTTACGAACTTTTGAATGTAATTAAAAAAAACAAAACAAAAAATACTGTAATTTCCCTGTATAAAAAACACAAATGTCAGTTATTTGTCATTTATAATAATTTACCTAAAACGAAAGTCAAACTGTTAATTTAGAGAGATTATTTGTCATTTTCCTAAGTTTTGATTATAATGTGAAATGACAAAAAAATACTGTAAAAAAATGTAGAGATTCTTTCTGTAATTTTTTTTATTTTTTACATTGTGGGCAGTATTTGTATAAATGCTAAATCTGTTATCCTTTATGCTTCATTATTTTAAACATGTTTAGTTTAACATGTTTTATTTAGTTTATTAGTTTTTACTTTAATTTTTAAGTTACAAACATTTTAACTTGACTTTACATGTCAGTTTAATTGGTGTTGAGATTAGAAAAGTTTATTTGATTAAACTTGAAAATTTAAGGCAGACACAATTTTGTACTACCAATAAAAGATTGTTTGCATTTTAAAGGGATTGTTCATCCAAAAAGGATAATTACGTCATCATAGTTATCATCTTGTTTCAAAATTTACTTTAATTTGTTTTAATAAGTTAATTAGTTTTCAACTTTTTTTAAGTTATGCAAATGTTAACTTGATTTTTAAAGTGAGTTTATTTGATGTACGCTGAAATGATTAGTGAAGTTAGTTTTAAGATTGGTTAAACTTAAAAATTAAAGGCAGCCACAGCTTTTTACATTGTTTTTCACCCAATAAAGGATGAACATTTTGAAGGGGTAGTTTACCCAAAATGTTAATTATTTAATCATTTACTGTATCCTTCTCTTGTTTTAATAGATGTACTCTGAAAATGGCAAAAGACTATAAAATGCTCAATAATTATGCAAGTCAAACAATTCACTTCACTTCAATTCATCTTTATTTCTGTAATGGTTTTTACAATGTAGATTATTCCAAAGCACATACATAAAACATAGCAAATAAAAAGCCATACCATAATAAGCTGGTGTAGTTGTATTTGAATTCATTTGGTGCAATAAATGTTGCTGTGGGACTTTAATTCAGTTTATTTTAATTCACTTTAGTTTAATACAAATGTCACTGTTAAAGGATTGTCCACTGAAGAGCCATCAGCCTCGACCATTAAAAGTAAAAATAACAATAACATTTATGTACAATTGAAGGTGTTATTGATATTGTACAATTCATTTCTTAAGCAAATAATTCTGAAAATAATTTTATTACTTTTATGCTGAATAACATTATAGTGTCCTGGGGCCTCATGTACGAAGACTTGCGTTGATATAATACTAAAACATGTGCGTACTTGGTGTACTCTGAATCCCATACATGTTCACTTTGTATATTAGAGCCAACATGAAAATGAACGCACGTGCACAAGCGCAAAACCTCCCCCTGCCTCCTACTCCCTAATAAATAATGACTCCACTTTGGCAAAACCAAAGGAAAAAGCAATGGCAAAAGTAAGCAAGAAGAGAAACTTCACAGAATGTGAATTGGAGGTGCTCCTATCGGAGGTAGACCGGAGAAAAACTGTGTTATTTGCAAGTTTGACCTCCGGAATTAATACCAAAAAAAAATAAAAAAATAAAGTGGGAGAGTTTAGTTGACGTGATTAACGCAGTGGGGTCCAAACATCGCACTGTGAGTGAATTTAAAAAATAATTAGTCCGATGTAAAGGTGCAGGTTAAGAGGAGAACATTGGCACACCATCAAAGTGTGAACCGAAGAGATGGGGGAACAGGGGATGCTGAACTAACACGCTTTGAGGAGAGAATTACCTCAATTGTGGGCAACACTTTACTGTCTGGAGTAGTATCTGTGTCTGTGGGAGACACAGATGTATTAGAGGAACACTTTGTTAGGGCGGTATAGCAGCACCCCTCTGGTCTCAAGGCAATGCCACCAGCATTTCAGCTGCAATATCGCCAGCTCCACAACTGACGAGTGCAAGAATGGGCATCATTGTATTTGCCCTCTTGGTCAGTTTGTAGGTTGTTAACAGCCACGTCCTTAATGGATAACCGATATCTCCTAATATGCAGTTAAATAATTGCACTCAATAAAAGATTAAAAAATAAATAACTTAGCTGGAATAACATCTTTAAATACATCACTCATTAAGAAGCCACCCATCGGGCACCCTGCCACATTGGAGCGTTCTGATTCAACCATTGACAATGTCATCTAATAAGGCCAACAATGCCATTGCCATAGACTAAGGGTTGTATACATTTGCAAATGCTTTTATATGTTCTAAATCACATAATTGGTAAATAAATATATATATATATATATATATATATATATATATATATATATATATATATATATATATATATATATATATATATATATAGTGTTAATTAACCTATTTTATCAGTTATAAATTAATAGCAATGTTTTTATTTTATTTTTTTTATTCGAGAACCAGACAGAACTGTTGTATAAATGTATATATACACTGTATATGTATAATGTATATTTATTTAAAGACAGTGGCTGTTTAGTTGCTGATGCAGTAAGAATCTCTCTGGTATTCCAGCTTTACATGTATGTTTTCTGCTGTGAAATTTAAGACATTTGGGTTAAACTGAACTTTTCTAATTAACTAAAAAAAGGTATCATTAAAAGTATTCTTCTAAGCATATATAGGCTATTACTTCATACAACCGTACAACCATTTGCTTTCAGTGAAAAAAATGAGTTCACTTGAGTATTGTGTATAGCAATGTAGTCCATGTATTTTCACAGCAAGACAATTGTAGCTGCCAGCATTTTAACAGCAAGATGCTGTAATTTAACAGTAACAAGCTGGCAACTGTGCTGCCAGTAATTTACTGCTTTTTTAACGGGACAATTTTAACAGTGATATATATATATATCATTTGTTTAAGGCAGAAAGATCATTATTTAATTAATCCCGAAAAAAAAAAAATTCTCTTGTGAGGCAATTAAACCAGTTGAATTAACATTAATTGCATGAGTTCAATTTCATAAATCCATCGCTTATAAAAGTTTACAAAGAACTACCTACCTTAATATTTAATTATATGGATATATTTTATTTGTTTAGTATGGGTTTACAGTAGTTACAATAACTACAGTGTACTCCGTGTTCTCTAACAAGATTATAAACTCAAGTATAAATTTGTTTAAGGGATTCGGTTTTACGAGATGGTTATCATAAAGCTTTGACTCTTGATTTCCTATATTGATTTTTGCAAGGTTTCCTGTGAAGTGCAATAAATGTAACTTTTTTACTACAGGGCTCAGCTCAAGGTTAACTAGACAGTATGGTGAGTTGGCTTAAAGTGACAAGTCTACAAGGGTCACAGTGTCCCTGCAACCATTAACCTAACTACTGTTGAAATGCCTTTTATTATAAAAAAGGGGGTTTCTTGTTTTAAGTATAATAAAATAAAATAAAAATGAATTATTATTTAAAATTATTATTTGAAATTAACACTTCAGTATAGGGACAGATTATAAATATTAAACATGTCTATTATTACAGTTTCTCTCAGTCGCTTTGGTGCATTTCTTACAACACTATTTACATTTGCACAACAGTTAATGCATTTCTCAAAACAGTTAGACATTTGTGCACTCCTTCCAACAAATTGCAAATGCTTTTGGACATACATCAATTGCTTTCACACAACTCTCTGCTGTTTATAACATTATCATTTGCTTATGTCATGTTAGTCAAAATTAACTAAACTTGTGAACGCTAAATAGTCATTCTATATAAAACTAATAGTCCTCATTTTATTACTTGAGTCATCTCATACAAAAATGTTGAACTACTTGTCAAAATCTGTCTAGCAAATTTTATTAAAAAAAAAAAAAAAATTAATCTTTATTTTCCTGAAATTAAAAATTGAACAATTTCATGAATGATTACCAGACCTATGTATGTTGTAGGTTCAGTTCCAATATGTTGTGCAATATTGTTCACAGTTGTGCACAGCTTTACCCAAAGGAAGTTTCTGTTTATTGTAAATAAGGGTGTATTTGTTCTTTTGCACAATGCTGTGAATACATTTGAATTGCAACGAGCATATGCAGTAAAAATTTGAAACATACATATTCAGTGCCGTGTACTCAGATACCTCACTAAATGCAGTGATGTCTAACTTTACTGTAGTTTTCAAATGGCTGGGCATATAGAATATAGTGCTGTTTTGAGCATTTTCAGGAAGTGTCACCAACATCTGACTTTTTTTGCATTGAAAAAATGTCCAGAGTAAACTGTCATAATGAAAACATGACAAAGCCATTTGACTATCTTGTTCATAAACAATGGTGTCAGGACTTTTCATTTTGATGATACTGACACTTTGATTGACATGAATACTTGCTTTTAAGGAATGAACTATCCATTTTGAGCAAGTGACACACTTTTGCAGGTTATCAACTAGGTTTTGCAGTTTGTACTAATTGTTTTGGCAAATGCACTAATATATATATAGTCAAGCCTGAATTATACATACCCTGGTATGAATAATTTCAGATTTGAGTGTGTATCAAAACTCAATTTTGAATAAGTAATGTGCATGCTAAGCACTTCATATAAATGATATTGAGATTTATAATTCACTTGAAAACTGTAAAAAAATATATTAAAATCACCCCTTAACAATTGCTCAGCAATACACATTACCAATCAAAATTGAGTTTTGCTATATTTATAAATTGATAGATAGATGGATGGATGGATGGATGGATGGATGATAGATAGATAGATAGATAGATAGATAGATAGATAGATAGATAGATAGATAGATAGATAGATAGATAGATAGATAGATAGATAGGTAGGTAGGTAGATAGGTAGGTAGGTAGGTAGGTAGATAGATAGATAGATAGATAGATAGATAGATAGATAGATAGATAGATAGATAGATAGATAGATAGATAGATAGATAGATAGATAGATAGATAGATAGATAGATAGATAGATAGATAGATAGATAGATAGATAGATAGATAGATAGATAGATAGATAGATAGATACTGTAGATAGATAGACAGAATTCTTCTCATTCTTCTTATGCTATACTGTAAAAATAAAAAAACAAAAACACAGAAAATCAGACTGTATTTCAGAGTGTGATGCATTTGGATAAAAAGGTATTTTCTTTCAGGTGCCTTTATGATTCCTTTCCTGATCCTGCTGGTTTTTGAGGGAATCCCTCTTCTCCATCTGGAGTTTGCCATCGGGCAGCGACTGAGGAAAGGCAGTGTGGGTGTCTGGAGGACTATTAACCCATATATGCTTGGAGTTGGTGAGAGAAATTTTGAACATTATAATAAATAGTTCCCTATATATATATTGCAACCGTGGGAAATATGAAGCTGGTTACTTGTAACAAAAATGCATTTAGTGCAGGGATGACAACACTAGTGCCAACAGGCCAAAGTTGGCCCATAGTAACCATTGATTTGACCCGCCATCCCAAATAAGAAGAGAAGAATGATGGGCATGGTTCAGAGATTGTCATTTCAAATCTCATGTAATCTTTTGTTTGTTTGCTTTATTGTTAAAAGCTAACTAAAATTAAATGTTTCAATTAAATGTTGTAAGTTATTCAGATTTAGTATAAATGTACATACTGTCACCCGATGGTTAAAAGACAAATCAAGGCAAAAGGCAGATTCTGCTTGACTAGTGTTATCATTGAACTCCACTGTGTAATAAATTTGATTGTTTATGTTTTATTGCAATAAGTTATCATTTTAAATGGCTCTCAATGATATTTATACATAAAGTTTGGGCACTGCTGATTTAGAGGATGTTGCTTTACATGTTGCTGTATCCAATGTCATATTTTATCATTATAATGTGGAAAGAACTTAAAAACTCATTAAAGTACATTATACAGATGTGAGTCAGCAGTAGATTGGTTGTGCATTGTGTGTGTGCTGTGCAGGTTTGCAAATTGTGATCCAACCTCAGAGAGGGTTGGAATAAGCAGCAGTTAACAGTCAGTGTCAAATCAAAATTTACAATTTTTATTTTGCTAGCTCACATTGTTATTCTTAAAACGAATAATTTATCAGTGCAGGAAATCCACTGGAAAAAAACAAACATATATACTGTACATGAAGAGTTCAAGTGCTGTCTGAAATTTTCCTCTAAAAATTGGCATTTTTATCATTTATTCATTTTCGGCTTAGTCCCTTTATTAAACCAGGGTCACCGCAGCAGAATGAAACGCCAACTTATTCAGCACATTTACACAGCAGATACCCTTCCAGCCGCAACCCATGTCTGGGAAACATCCACACACACACTCATACACTCATACACTACGGACAATTTAGCCTACCCAATTCACCTGTATCGCATGTCTTTGGACTGTGGGGGAAACCAGAGGAAACCCGCACAAACGCAGGGAGAACATGCAAATTCCACACAGAAACGCTAACTGACCTAGCCAAGGCTTGAACTAGTGACCTTCTTGCTGTGAGGCGACAGCACTACCTACTGCACCACTGCGTCACCAGCATTTTTCTCAGCCTCCTATATTTATGTTTAGTTATTTCATATTAAAGGCAATGAAATTTAAATTTAAATTTTAGACGGCACTTAGAGGTTTTTGCATCAAGACCCTTTATATGTATATATATTTATTTATTTTATTAATCTTTAATTAAAGTCAGATTTTTGCTTTTGCATTTGGAGTGGTGGTTTGTCCGTTGACATCAACGTTCAGGTAACTTCCAAGGCAACTGTATATTGATACTCTCTTTTACTGTTAGTTTTCTATGAATGAATAATGCCCAAAAGAAACCCCCACCCCTACTCAATACTTTATTTCAGTTGGAATTACATAAACATACTGAAAAAAAAGTCTCAAAAATTTCTGGTTTACATGGACCAAGAGAGCTCACTGTGTACTGAGGTGTTTTTGACGGTTTAAAAAGTGTATTGATTTGCATTACCACTGAGCCAAAGAACCAAAGAAACTTACAGACTTTTTCATTAATCCCCTAAAGAATCCTATCAACTTTAAAGCCCACATGGACCAAAAACTGCAACCATTTTTGTTTTGTATTGTGATGCAGTTCCTAGAGAAATGGAATATTAAATAAGAAAACGGGTGTGGCTTTTTTTTTCTACTGAAGATTGGCAAAGGGGTTTTAGAAGAGTTATTACAACACCTAACAGACACCTCCTCACCATTTCATATATAAATACACATTACATTACATTACTGTTTGACTGAGAGTGACTTAACCACACTTAATAAGTCACATAATCCGAGAATTTAACTGAAAACAAACAGGAAGTTTGTTTTCTAATTTTAATTTTAGATTACAAGAGGAAACCTTTTTTTCTTAATGATTTAAATTTCGTTTGTACTTTAAGGGCTGTCTCAATCACAATATTCTTCCAATCCACTAAAACATGCAATTCCTAAAAAGTTTCAAGATGCGCTGCATGAAACTAGGCAGCAATGAATCTCACCATGTTTCCCTAACAGAATGACTGAAGCATGAATCGTGACAATGATAAGTTGTTAAAAATGTCAATGTTAAATGCAATATATGAAAAAAATTCTGTAAAATCTCAGTTCTGTTGTTGTGCATCAATACCAGTAGTAATGTTGTACTATTATTCTCATGTAACCATCTGATTTACTATTTAAAACGTGGTGCAGAGTTGTGTTGGTCTGAAAATAGCAACACGTTGCACCAAACACTGTGCCGGGTGTATGATAGGGCCAAAAGTCCTAAACAAGTCGGCAAAATTATGAACAGGACATATTGATCGACAACCCCTGGAGATGCCTGAGATGGCAGCAGACTGAGGGACTGAGGGCAACATAGGGAGCTGACTGAGATGCACCCAATAACTGGGAAGATCTGAAAGTGTCAAATTTTCATCAGTTTTCATCATTCTTTTTCAAATGTCTAATTCTTTCGTTTTGATCTTCACATGGAGATTTGTGCAGCATTACATATTACTTTGTTCATCAGATTCCATTCTGTGTAGAAGCTAAGCATGTGTTGTGTTTCACAGGCATTGCATCTATGTGTGTGTCTTTTCTGGTCAGTCTGTACTACAACACCATCATAGCCTGGGTTATGTGGTATTTCTTCAACTCCTTCCAGGATCCTTTGCCCTGGAGCCAGTGCCCCATCAATGAAAACAGAACAGGTATAATATGAGCATGCTGAGGAGGAGGATTTTATTATTATTTTGATTTCATTTCTATGTCTATTTCTATGATATTTTGGGTTTACTCAAGGTTTGTTTCATCTTCAATGTTATTGTTAATGGTCAGGACCGATTCCAGAGTGTGGGAAGAGCTCACCAGTGGATTATTTCTGGTATCGTGAGACTCTGAACACTTCAGCGGCTATAGATGATACGGGTGGTCTGCAGGTGTGGATGGTCCTCTGTTTGATCTCTGCATGGGCAGTGCTGTATGTCTGCTGCATCCGTGGAATAGAAACCACTGGGAAGGTAAAGCTGCTTAAATAAAGGAGGCGATAGGACAGGAATATTTCAGAATCTGAATCAGTTTTTAATTAATTAAGCGAGTCTCAGTTCACAGTAATAATAAAAAAAAAAGTTTAACATGCATAAAGGAACAGTTCATCAAAAAGGAAATTCTGTCTGTCATCATCTGTTCACCCTGTACTTGTTTCAAACATGTTTGAGTTTTTTGTTCTGTCAAGCACAGAGAATATTGGAAACGTAACCACTGACTACCAAAGTCCTTGTTTTTTCTATGGATGTCAGTAATTAATGTTTTCTAAACATTCTGCAAAATATCTTTTGTGTTTAATACAAAAACTCAAACTGGTTTGTAACAATTCAAGGGTGAGTAAATTAACAGAATTTTACTTTGTGCGAGAACTACCTTTTTAAGGATGCGTTTATAATTAATATTATGATCATAATTAGGCATGGGACGATAACCATTTCCAAGCTATACAGCTGTTTGAAAAAGTCAAGGTTTAACCACCAAAATGTTCTGCTATACTGTTCCTGAGGTATGAAAAAGGTTTTTGCTATTCTAAAAGATGCTATTCTAAATTGTAAAGGAATCTGTGTTTTTAAAACAAATGAAGACAGTTCAAATGTTTACCCTGACATGCTTACTGCTCCAAAATATTTATTTTTTTTCTCAAAATAACATATATGTACTGTTTAAAGGGTAAAAACGTTTTTATTTTTTACCCAGACATTTAAAAAGATTATATTTTACAGCAGTAATCGCAATAGCGTGATACTGTAAAACTGATATTTTTATCCAAGGTTATCATACCATCAAAATCGGCCTATGCCTAATAATAATAGATAAATATGTACTGTATATTATCAACAAAGTTAATATTATATTACTCACAATACTTCAGCTTGTTCCCAGCTTTATCCAGCATCAGCACAGTGGAATGAACCAATAATTACTCTGCAATTTGTTTTACACAGAGAATGCCCCTGCCATAATCCAATAAATAAATAAATTAATTAATTCTACAAGAAATAATTAAATTAAATGCAACATCAATGTAATTATTAGAAGAGGTTTGACTAACAAGCAGTTTAGCGAATTTATTGTGAATCCGCTTCATTACCTACAAAAATCATACTAATATGTAAAATCTCTTTTTCAGTCTCTACAAAACAACTCGTTTATATTAATTATGATAGTTTACAGTTTTAAATAATGATTATTTGTCTTTTAAATTTAGATCTTTTTTATTCTATATTTTTATATGGTTCATGTAAGTGCTAAACTGTAAAGAAATATCTGTTTGTAACAGTTTTACATATATTGGGATTTATTTTTAGTTTTTTCTTCATTTATTTTTATGCTTTTGTATTACATTATGTTATCCGGATCTTTCCTCCAACAACTTTTGATGTTGAGAAGTTTAAAAAGTTTGAAATGATTGCCTGGGTTGGTGTTGTAAATTACTAGTAATAAACAGCATGTATGTTCCTCTTATTTTACAAATGTACTTCCCTATATATTATTTCTTATGCAATATGTTGTTCAAACTACTTAAATGTCAAAAAAATTTTACTTTCTTAAAAGCAAAGTTAAATTTACAACATCAAAACTCAACAAAGCAGAGATAGAAGTCTCATAATGCAATTGATGACCATAAATAAATAGAAAAAAACCTGTGAATCATGAAATATAGATTCTGTTAATTAACAGATGTTTTTTTTTTTTACAGTGTTTATAAAGTTCAAGGCAAAATTATTAGCGCTCCTATAATTTTTTTTATTATTTTCCCAAATGCTGTTGAACAGAGCAAGGATATTTTACAGTATTCCCTTTGGTAACAATTTGTTTTGATGGTTCATTTGAGTATTAGTAGACTGTCTGCTTAATATCTGTTGATACTGCTCCGTCAACAGACATTTAATTGACTCTAAGAAACTTTGCAAGTGCATGTCAACTTACACCACCCCAACCACAACCCCAACCTAACAGTCTACTTATAATCTAATGAGAATTAGTTGGCATGTAAATGCAATGTAACCTAATTCAACAAGCGCACCATCAAAATGAAGTGTGATCTTCCCTTTTTTTCTTCTAAAGAAAGTCTTAATTCCTTTAGTTTGGCTGGAATAAACACTGTTTTTAATTTAAGGTCAGTATTATAAGCTCTTTCAAAAATTAAACATATATTTAACTGGCTACAGAACAAACCACTGTTGTCAAGTGACTTGCCACATTAACCAAACTAGTGTAGTTATGTTAATAAATTAAGCCTTTAAATGTCACCTTTAGCTTCAATAATAGTATCTTGCAAAATAATGTTGTTTAAAATGTGCTAAAAAAAATCTTTACATTAAACAGCACTTGGGAAATATTTTAAAAAGAATAAAATGTAACATTAGGGTAACATTTTTGACTTCAATTGTAAACAAAAATTATGTTAATCTATAGAATCACCTTTAGTGCTCACGTTTTACCCTTTAAAAATTGTAATCAATACATTTGTCAAAAAGTTATTCTTGAGCATTCCACGAGAATGCTATGAGTGAATGTTGAAATAAAGAATAAAGATCACAGCGATGTATCTTAAGGACACTTGCTTGTAAAAAGCACAGAATAGAACAGCTTTACAGTTTTACAACTCTTGTGAACAATTAAGCAGACGGTTTGTTTCAACTGTTGTAATAAAAGGATTTAGAATTCCAGAACGTCCAAAGAGTTTATCTATCATTCAAGAGCCACAAAACATAAAGTTTGAACTCGCTGTACCGTACCCAAAGTATTTGTCATCAGATTGTCTTAGATATGGTATTCACATGTACTTAAACACAATGTTTTTCCTCTTCTCTCCTCAAAGGCGGTATATGTGACGTCTACGTTACCGTATTTGGTTCTTACGATCTTCCTGATTAGAGGACTCACTCTGAAAGGATCCGTTGATGGAATTAAATTCCTCTTTACTCCAGATGTGAGTTTCAAAGTTAAAACAATTTCACGGTGTTTAACATCTTCAGTTTTAACATAAAATGTAAAACTGTGTGTTTGTGTGCAGATAAACGAGCTGGCAAACCCTAGCACATGGCTGGATGCTGGTGCACAAGTGTTTTATTCATTTTCTCTAGCTTTTGGAGGTCTCATCTCTTTTTCCAGCTATAACTCTGTGCAGTAAGTTCACTTTCCAAATATTTTTGTATGTTTCTACTATAGAGGTGAACTTGTAGGATTTTTTGGCCAATACCAATACCGATATCAACCAAAACAAATTAGCTGATTGCAGTACCAATATTTATGGTAGTCAATTGCATAGATTACTATACAGTGCATTACATTAATTTTAATAGAATAAACTGGCTAAAGGCTAAGTATGACTATGAAATCTCTTCTCAGAGCAGATCTAATAGATCTAAATCAAATTAGATCTTAATAAGAAAAATTTGACCATTTTTAAAATTATTTCCATATGCCATCTTTGCATTGAAAAAGCAACAGATAAACTATTTGTGTACATATTTTTAAATAGTGATTGCTCTTTACTTTTTGCATATGCACGTAGATCGATGTTAAATTATCTTTTTTAGCTGAATAGGCAAGGTCCCAAAACAAATTCCTGAGGCAAACCAAATTTAAAATTTATTACTTGGAATTATCTTTTCTCCCACTCTCACACACAAGGATTTCGTAGAATGCAATCTATCTTATTTCTGCTAGCAGAGTTTTTAATTTTCAAAACATATTTTCAAGACGTTGTAAGTTGCCTACAAATTACACTCATTGGTCACTTTATTAGGTACACCTGTCTAAACACTTGTTAATGCAAACTTCTAATCAGCCAATCAAATGGTGGCAACTCAATGCATTTAGGTCAAGACGATCTGCTGCATTTTAAACCGAGGATCAGAATGGAGAAGGAAGGTGATTTTAGTGACTCTGAACGTGGCATGGTTGTTGGTGCCAGACGGTCATGTCTGAGTATTTCAGAAACTGTCGATCTACTGGAATTTCCATGCACAGCCATCTCTAGGGTTTACAGAGAATGGTCCAAAAAAGAGAAAATATCCAATGAGCAACAGGTCAGAGGAGAGCGGCCAGACTGATTGAGCTGATAGAAAGGCACCAGTAACTCAATCAACCACTCGTTACAATCAAGGTATGCAGAAGAGCACCTCTGAATGCACCATGGATGTGCAGCCGACAAATCTGCATCAACTGCATGATACTATCATGTCAATATGGATCAAAATGCTTGAGGAATATTTCCAGTACATTGGTGAATCTATGCTATTGAGAATTAAGGCATAGCTCTGAAGGCAAATGGGGGTGCTAGTAAGATGTACCTAATAAATTGGCCGGTGAGTGTATCTGCCAAATGCATAAATGAACTGTAAATGTATTTTTGAGCTACTTAAGTACTGCTTAACTACTATCATAAGTTTGCATAAAAAAAACTTCAGATAAGTGAGGCATACAAAAGAAATGATAAGAAAACACAATAAATCCAATATTTAATAGTAATAACAAAGATTTATCAGCATTTTTATTTTTATTTTTTTTGGCTAGTAACTTTTGACGAGAAACAAAATAATTGTGAATAAAAGAGAAAAAAAGACTAGTATGCCCTGTGGGAGGAACGTAGTTTTTAGATCAATGTGATATACATTTCAGATATAAGAGAAAATCACTTCTTGAGCATAGTATTAGGCATATGGGCTAGTAACATTTTTCTTTCGCTTGCAGAGTTTTTGTGTGAGATTCATTCTTACAATCAGTTTTCAAGAACAGCAGAAACCCAGTACAAATTCTTCAGTCAAATATGTATTCTCTCTCTTCCCAACAGCAATAACTGTGAGCAAGATGCAGTAATCATCTCTGTCATTAATGCGTTCACTTCCATCTATGCGGCCACTGTCATTTACAGCATAATTGGTTTCAGAGCCACAGAGAGATTTGATGACTGTATGAATGGGTAAGTATTTAGCTGTGTCACAACACATCATTTGACCTTCTGTTTTGGTAGAAAATTGTGGTTCATGACATTCCACACAGATAAGTGTGACGACTTGAGTGACTCAGTTGTTGTTACCATGAAGGGGCATCTTATCAAAGGATTAATTCAGTATCTCTCAGCTCCAAGTTTTTAAATGTCACCACCAGAGTTATCGCATAGATGGTGTGTACAATCTATGAACAACACTTTTGATTCATTTGTAAATGTTGGGTTACTTTATGTTATGGATGCAATAAAGTTTCAAGAGTTAACTACATTAACTAAAAATGAAAGATGCAGTATTTCTAAACCATTAATTATCTTTGCTAAGCTTAGCTTTTGCTCCAACATTACAATTTTTTTTATAAATATTTATAAATACTTCATAATTAGTGGCCTTATTTAAATCAGGAATGCCCAAACTAGTGTCCACAAGCCAAAGTTGGCCCATAATAAACTTTGACCGCCATCCCATCTAAGAAGAGGGGGCATATTTTAGAGATTGTCATTTCAAAACTAATGTAATCTTTTGTTTGTTTGATTTGTTGTTAAATGCTAACTGAAATAAATGTTTCGATTAAATGGGGTAAATTAATCAGATTTAGTTTAAATGTACATTCTGTCCCAGACTGATAGAGGACAAATCAAGACAGATTCTGCTTGACTAGTGTATTGATCATTGAACTCCACTGTGTGATTATGTTTTTATTGCAATAAGTTACCATTTAAATGTTAATCTGCCAAGCCTGTTGCATAATGCATTGGTTAACATGATTTAAAGTAATGTTTTCTATTTACTTTTAGGTCTTATTAAATAAATTAGGAAATTACCCATGGCAACTTTAATGTTATGTATAGCTTGGTATTATTCGGCCCATGGCTCCAATGATATTTGGCTTTTGGCCCTTTATACAAAAAGGTTTGGGCATCCTTGATTTTAACCATTTGGTACAATGCAAGTATTGTGTACATACACATTTTACATTTTACTTATATATTTTTAATAATTTGCACACAATTAAATTTGTATTTCAAAACTACACTGTTGGCCTATCCCTTACACCATAAGCCACCCATAAACCTACCCATACCACCAAACTAGTTCCTAATCTTGATGTATCTCAACTCAATAACACCATAAGTGTTGTGTCATTCAATATATGAGCAGATTACTAAATATAAAGTGAGACCGAAAGGTGTATTGACATTAAATGAATCAGAGTAAATGTACATAAACAAAATTGAAAATAAAAGCATGTTCATTAATAATAGTTAATGCATTAATTTATGTTCTAAAATGTTAAAAGCTAACACATGGGAACTTTTTTAAAGGTAGCAGATACTGTATGAAGAATAGCACCAATTTATATTTACTTATATTTATAAATTACCAAAAATTGTTAAATGTTGTCATTAAATGATATGTAACACATGAATCATTCTTAAAGTATTAAACTTGATTTATTCATTCAGTCATTAAAGAAATTATCCTACTTTTGTTCTGCAGGAACATCTTGACTCTTCTGAACACATTTGACCTGCCAGAGGGGTTCATCAATCAAAGCAACTATCAAGATGTTTTTCAGAGCCTTAATTCTACAAGCCCTGACATAATCAGCAGCCTTAGCCTTAAGACCTGTGATCTGAACAACTTCCTCAGTGAGGTACAGTATAGGACTGGGAGATATCACATTTTTCTTTCAAGTACCGGTAATACACTGTAAAACCCAACAGTCAACTCATTTGAAAAGAGTTTTCAACTCAGTGTTGAAGGCAGTAAGTTAATAAAATACCTTATAACTTCAACTTAAATGGAGTAAGTTCACAGTACTCATATAGATGACTTTTTTTAAACTCAAATGGTTTGTTGCAATCGGTTTCCTCAAATGGTTTGAGTTGCCCTAACTTACTGGGTTTACAATACTCAAGTTGGTTTGAGTTCTCTTCAGTTATTAGCTTTTTATTTGTGCTCAAATTGCTTTGTTTACGCAAATGGATTAAGTTTACAGTACTCATTAAGATTAGTTTTTGAACTTAAATGGTTTGTTGCAATCAGTTTCCTCTAATGGTTTGAGTTACCTTAACGTTTTGGGTTTTACAGTGTACCAAAGATGCACATCATGATACTGTGGGAAGCACATTTTATAGACTATAATACAAGTTACCTTTCCCAATAAAAAGAAATGCCAAGACTGAACTAAATTTTTAATTTTAAATGAAAAAAATTTAATCTGGACATAAATAAATAAATAAATAAATAAATAAATAAATAAATAAATCTTATAATAAGATTTTATTTGTATTGCAGGAATCATTAAATGATTTAGTTCTTTCAGAACAAACAAATATTACTAGAGTTATGAGTTAATAACTACTTGTGCATTTTAATGCGTAATAAACAAGGGTTTTAAGTTACCAAAACACTATGCCATCAGAAAATCTAGTTTTTATAACTTAAACCAAAATTATACTAATTAAACTTGCATTGTGTATCAATTCTCATTACTAACTGGTAGCCTGCCCCTTTAGATATTGCCTGCTCATTTAGATATTGGCTGTTTATTTGTAATTAGAAAGCATATACACTGATTATTATTCTTTATGCCTAATTCTACCTATATCCTAACCACATTTAGAACTATTAATCAGCAGCAAGTTGGGTGTTTGATGCAAAAATAATAGTTAGAAGTGTATTAATAACAATAATTGTACCTTTAAAAAAGCGTGACAGAATAATAGGTTAGAATAAAACCATTAGTTTAGAAATGAACACATGGGGTCTTCTTAATCTCACATGAGTTTAGATAGTATAAAAAATTCAATAACTAAACAAACATCATTTCTGTATTTGTATAGTTATATGTTAAATGTAAATAAAGCTGTAAATTTGGACACTTTCACAGGGTGTAGAAGGAACGGGTCTTGCCTTTATTGTGTTCACTGAGGCAATCACCAAGATGCCACTGTCTCCACTCTGGTCCGTCCTGTTCTTCATTATGCTCTTCTGCCTTGGCTTGTCCTCCATGTTTGGCAACATTGAGGGTGTTCTGGTTCCCCTGCAGGACCTAGGGGTCTTCCCCAAAAGCTGGCCTAAGGAAATTATTTCAGGTAATAAACCAATGCTGAACCTAGGTTATTAAGCTGGAATTAAATTGGCCATATTGGCCTAGAAATGTCTTACTACACAATGTAACTGCAGAATTATCATACTTTTGATTATTTTGAATACTATTTTTGAGCAAGATGCTAATATTCTTATCTGATTCAGTGATCTATGTTAAGCTAAGCTAAAAGTGCACCCACCAGGCAGAGATCGGCTGAATGGATTAAAGAGCCCATATTATACATGAAATAGGGTCATATCTTGGTTGTAAGAGTCTCCAACAACAGTCTAATATGCATGCAAGGTCAAAAAACACTTTCATGGTCTTATAATCTGCATTTATTTTTACCTAATTATCCCAGCGACTCCTGTATGAATCGTCCAGTGATTCATTTGTTCCCAAACCCCTCCTTAGCGCGGAGCTAATCTGCGCTGATTGGACCGATGACAGTCTGTCGCGATTGGTCGACTGCCTTCAGTCAGAGAGGGAAATGGCCAATAGCTAATCAGCAATTTAAAAAGTAATCACAGTTCATACACGCTCGATAGTGTATGCGTGGATTTTAGCTGCCACACTATGGCGAGTGGATAGTGCTACGGATAACCGAACGAAGGAGACAGTCGTGTACTCGCCATACCACACACACCCAAAAACACACACACACCTCCGGATGACAACGCTCCCGCTTCCGCCCGCACCCGCCAGGTTTTAGCCTGAGAACCCGCTCCGTTTTCTGCCCGCCGCGCCCGATCCCGCTAGAGCGGAGAACACAACCAAAAATCACCCAGTATACAGTCCAGACAGCCAAGCTGTCTGTATAAACACAAACACAGCACAAAGCTCGTTCGTTCGTTCGCTCTCTCTCTCTCTCTCTCTCTCGCTCTCTCTCATACGCTCTCTCATACCAAGCAGACTCTCTCTTTCTAATTCACATAGCAATATCCGTGATATTGCTAGACAGCCCGCTCCCGTCCCAAATTAAACCCGTTACCGACCGCTCCCGCGATTTATTCGGAAATTTATTCCCGCGGCTGTCCCCGCGCCAGATTTCTGCGGCGCGGGAATAAATTTCAGAATAAATCGCGGGAGCAGAACTCTAGCACGGAGCTCCATAAACAAACAGCACGCGTCGCGTTTTTAACGTGACTTTGCACGCGATAAGATAATATATCCAGTTAACCTGATACAGTACACGCGGTTACAAGTAACAAATCACAACTAAATACATTTGCAAGCTAGAGTTAACGAGGCAACAACTTTAACCGCACGTACTTACACTTGAGAAATGGAAGAAACTCTTTACTGATCCTTCCTTTAACAAACTCAGATGAAGTATTTTTTGTAGCATGTAGCTTCCAGAAGTTTCCAACTGCTTGGTTATAATGCTGAGGTTTCATCTTTGGGTAGAGACTCAATATATCCATCTGCAGTGTGACTTCAATCAACCGGCATGTTTGTGTGTGTGTGTTTGTGGGTGTGCGTATGTGTGTGTCTGGGTTTCTGCGTCAGAGGGCGGGGCCTCAGGTTTGAAATCTCCCGGGTTTGCGCGTGCACGTGAATAACTTGGTTTCGTTCGTACGTCATGGCGAAACACCTAATGAATCGTGATCAAGGCGACTCGTTTGAAGCACTATGAGTCGACTCTTTTATAGATGAATCAACAGTTTTAAACACTGTACACTAACAGATTTAAGCCTTAGCTGGATACTTCACTTCACTTAGAGCTGTGTTACACACTACATGGAGGGGAATTTTCAAAAACCCATAATATGGGCTCTTTAAGAAATGGTAAAACTCAGCTGTTTTGACAACAACAATGTGTCTTTTTAAAAAGTGGAGTCTTCTTTAATTCTTGAATTGAAGTTAAATTGAGCTTGAATTCTTGAATTAAATGTTTGATGATTGGATTATTTGTTTTGTAGTGCTATCTTGAACTGATCACAACAAATCATTAGGGTTAGTTTGAAACATTATTACAGTATATACATACTCAGTATTCATTGATAAATTCTGAGCAGTGTGGAGCAGTTTTATTAGCATTCCTTTTACCTATGGCTTTGAACAGTGGTTCCCAAACTCAGTCCTTGAGGGGTAGTGTCCTGCAGACTTAGCTCCAACTTTCCTCTGTACACCTGCCTTTAAACTTCTAGTACAGTCTTTCCCTATCTTGGTCCTTGCACTTATTCCCCAACACAGACACAAAACATTGTTCTGAGCCGTAATTGCTTATTAAATATTTAATTAAACACAAAACTGACAGAAATGAAGACAGCTGATGGAGTACACTAACTTGTGCATTTTCAGTCACAAGATGATGTCAAACAGCCAAAAACGCAAAGCTGACAAAAAACTAAACTGCCTGGAAAAAGCGTGTTCTAACCTACATAATATTTATCCACAAAATACCACCAAACTGTCAAAAACAGTGAAAAACCACAGCATGACAGAAAAGTAGATACCTATGAATGTGGATGTAAGTTGATGTATTTGAATGTATTTACTGATGGTCAAGGTGATTTAAAGTAGCTGGATGAGTCTGTGTTATTCGGTGGCTGTTATTTCAGAATAAAATACTTAGGAATTCCATGACTGATCAATCAGAATCATGTATTCCAGACAGCCATGTAGTAAATTTATATAGCACACACTAAACTTCAATTTTAATGAAATATGCTCCCTTCAAGCTGACACAAACAGAGAAACAAATGAAATATGCAGTGAGTGGGATAGACAAACGCTGTTCTGGTACTGTTTGACTAGTAAGAGCTAGCTGATTCAGGTATGGGCATTCCTCGTTCATAATAACCCATGTTTAACTCTTTAAAGAGTAAAAAAACATTTTGTGAAAGACTTAACTGTGATTTTTTTTAGAAATGCTTTACATTTCTGACTCTATTATTTATGGCAGGTGTGACGTGCTTGGTGTGCTGTCTGGTTGGGCTGATATTTGTCCAGGGCTCAGGAAACTACTGGCTGGCCCTATTTGACAGCTTTGCTGGCTCTATTCCTCTCCTCATTATTGCTTTCTCCGAGATGATTGGAGTTGTATACGTTTATGGCATTGACAGGTAAGTTGGAGGCCAACTGATTTTATCCTACAAGACTCCATAATCAAGAAACTGGGAACTAATTATTAATGTAGAAGATAATGTAGATGAACATATTCACATATCAGCAACTCATGGATGTTTTTACAGTGACTAAACAATGATTTTATGTGTTTATGGTTTAGATAAAGCTCTTGAATCAGCAATATATGATGTTATCTCCTGTTTTTGAACAGGTTCAATGAAGACCTGATATTCATGATAGGACACAAACCTAACATCTTCTGGCAAGCCACATGGAGATTCATAAGCCCTCTCATCATGTTGGCCATCTTCGTTTTTTACTTTTCCACCACAGTCACCAAGGAAATCTTTTACAGCGCTTGGGATCCTGAATCGGTGATTTGAATTGATTGATTTCGAATTATTAGTAGTACATAGTTATCCTATTATTTTTATTAACTGTTCCTAGACTGTAAAAAATCTGTTAATTAACAGGTTTCATATTTTGTGATTCACAAGTGTTTTCCATTTATTTACGGTTGTGAGTTGCATTATGGGACCTCGATCTCTGTTGACTTTGGATGTTGACAATTCAACTCTGCAGTTTAACAACGTGACTTTTATTGACAAATTAGTAGTTTTAAATAATAAAATTTAGAATAAATCATATGTACAGAAATAAGTTTTAAAAACAGAAAATGTACTGGCTGTTTATTATGAGGTTTTTGTACTGTAAAATACAACACCAATATATCATGGTAAACTATTAAAATGTGAATAAAAGTCATTTTTCAAGGTTAAAAGTTCAAGGTGCTAATTTACAGGTTTTTTTACAGTGTACAGTAATTTGTTTTGGTCGCCCCCTACATTATGTTTACATAAATCCAAGATTAAAATAAAAATCATTAAAATATTTTTTCTTAGTTTCTCAATGGGTTAATTTTTGGATCCAGTTCTCTTAACTATTTCTTTCTGGTGTCCAGTTCTGTTATAATTAGTCAGATGGACAATTCTGTTTTGATTTGTTGACTGCAGAAAGCATCTGTCAGAAAACACAGTCATTGTCATACTTGCACACTCTGTGATACGAACAGAAGCGATGATGTCAGTTTCATGCCTTGGAATAACAAGTAACATGGATTTTCTTGTAATAGGCTTAGTGGAAAAACAGGATATTTGGTTGACCAAAAAAAAATATATGTATATATATTTTTCTTCTTGACATCTCAATTACACAAATCTAAATTTGTAATCAATCTAAATTGCTTAAAAGCTCAACCTGGCAGAAATAGTAATAAAAACATTAATAATTAAAAAAAACATTAATTAATAAAAACATTTTTAATAATTCAAAATAAACTGAATAAAATTAGACCTGAGTCAAATCCAACTTGGTTGCCTTTAATTTCGACTGGACTTGAACATTAACAATAGATTTGTGTTGAGTATAAAGTTAACTTATACATTTTTTTTTTTTTACAATTTTTTTTTTTTTTTTTTTACAATTTTGAGTTTTAAGTAATAGTCAGTTTTTTGAGTGTATGTAGTAACTTAACAGACTGAAATATTTAGTGAACTGAAACCAGCATAAATTACTGATAATTTACTTTACAAAGTTTAGATATTGTTCTTTAAATTTAGAAAAAGTAACTTGACTTGGTGTACACACTGAAAAAAAGTATTCATAGGATTTATGAAATTGTTTAAGATAAGTGGTTGCAAACATTTTATATGGGCTGAATTTAAATAAACAAATTTAGAAATGTTCAACTTGATTTGTTCATATAATTTCAGCCTATATAAATTGTTTAGAACCACTTATCTTAAAAAAATATATGTTTGTAAATCCAATTAATATTTTTTTCAGTGCAGTTTATTCTTTAAAATTTTGCTGTTTTTTTTTTCACAAACAGCTGTATTTTTATGATAGGTAATATCTTAAAAAGCATAATAGGGGGACCTTAACCTGATTCTTATTATAAAAAACTGTAACATGCATCTACTTTGAAGTAATTAAAGAACTTTGTTCTTATTTACAGGAAAATTTCCCAACTCTAGAGAAGAAGCCATATCCAACATGGATCTACGTAATAATATTTCTGCTGGCTGGGGTTCCTAGTTTGGCTGTACCAGGAACTGCTGTTTTCAGAGCCATTCGAGACTATTGCTGCAAAAAACATCCCAGTGCTTCAATTCAACAACTAGATTCTGTATCTTACAAAGTTCAAATGCATGATGAAGAAGTGAAGACACAAAAGACTGAGAAATTTGACCAAAAGTTGTATACATGAGATCTAACTGAACCTGCTATGCCATAATTTTAGGCCCACACATACATAAATGTCTTTCTGGAATTGACAGATTATTGCTATAATATTTGCCCTTGAAAATGTGCTTGCAAAATGTTACAGTGGTTTCAACTTCCAGTTTCCAATTTTCCATTAAAATTTAATTTACCAACAGTACACAGATAAAGCTAAGACACTAAATTAGGGCTTACTGGATTAGAGAGATTAATATATTTTTAATTGGTTATATATCATTTAAAATATATGCAATTTTATACACATTTTAAGAAATAAGAAAAGATAAAAAGTAATGATGATAAGAAAACTGTGTGGCTAATTTGATAGTGGTACGTGGCAGACATGTTTTTGTGCTTTAAAATATTGATAAGCGTATTTATTTTTGTAACAAATAATGGCATTTAATTGGACTTTTTAATGTTTCACCCAATCAGTCTTCCTCAAAAAATATGTTCTGATAAAGGATTTTGGCCATGTTTCCCGACGAGTTCAATAAATATTTGTCTATGCCTATAAATTTGGTTCATTTAATCATTTGCGCATAATTATTTGTCATTAATAAGGCATCAACTTTGAAATTAATCATGACTGTGTTGTGCATTTTATTCTGTTATTATTAAATAGAAACCAGGAAACATCTGACTCCAGATTGAGACACCACTGAAGTATTTGAGATTGTAGTACAATACAAGGTGTATCACATATTCTGTATATTTACTACAACCTCAAATCAAAAAAGTTGGGACATTCATTCACTCATTCATTCATTTTCTTGTCGGCTTAGTCCCTTTATTAATCCCAGCTCGCCACAGCGGAATGAACCGCCAACTTATCCAGCAAGTTTTTTACGCAGCGGATGTCGCAAACCATCTCTGGGAAAAAGTTGAGACAGTATAGAATGCAAAAAATAAAAAATAAAATTAGAAAGTGATTTCTAATCTATTTTGACTTTACAATACAGACAATACAACAGCACGATATTTATTGTGTCTATTTAAATAAACACATATTTCAATTTTAGTTCTTGCAACACATTTCAAAGAAAGTTAGGACAGTAAAGCATTTACCACTTTGTAAGGTTGCCATTCCTTTTCATAGCACTTAAAATACATTTAGGAACTTGTCCTATTTTTCCTGTAAAAAAGTTTTAAGCTGTCACATTTTGCTCCACACATTCTCTATTGGAGACAGGTTGGGAATACAGGCAGGCCAGTCAAGTACCTGTATCCTGTTCCTCCACAGCCAGGACTTTGTGATGTGTGCAGAATATGGTTTTGCATTGTCTTGTTGAAACATGCATGGGCATTTCTGGAAAAGGTAGCAGCATATTGTGCTCCAAAACCTTGATGGACTTCTCAGCATTAATGGTGCCAACACACAAGTGCAAGTTACCTTGCCAAGGACACTTACACAACTCCATACCATGACAGACCCTGGCTTTTGGACTTGTTGCTGGTTAACATTCTGAATGATTCTTTTCTTCTTTGGTCTGGAGCACATAGCATCTGTTTCTCCCAAAAATACTGATTTACCTGAACACAGTACTCATTTTCACTGTGTGATGGTCCATTCCAGATGACTCAGAGCCCAGAGAAGTCAACAGTGATTGTGGACACTGTTAACATAGGGTTTCCTTATGTCACAGTACAGTTTTAACTGACATTTGTGGATGTAACTATATTGTGGTACTTGACAAAGGTTTGCCAAAGTAGTCCTGAGACTTTGTGGTGAAATCGCTTATAGATGAATTACAATTCATGATGCAGTGCTGCCTGAGGGATTGAAGATCCCTGTCACCCTTGTCATTTACACACTGCAAGTCCTCCAGATTCTTTGAATTTTTTTGTATTATGTTACATACTGTTGAAGGTGAAATATCCAAATGTCTTCCTACTAGACCTTTCTTGGATGCTGCTTTTGAACCAAATCATAATTACAATCACCTGTTGACATCGCCTGTTACAAATCACATCATTATTTAACTAATTTACCTGATTACTAGCCCTAAACTGCTCCTGTCCCTACTTTGTTTAAATGTGTTGCAGGTGTGCATGACAGGAAAGTATGTATATTTACTAATAAATTAAGTTGACTACATAAAACATGAAATATTTGTGTTCATATTGTCTGCAATGAAATACAAGTCAAAGTAAATTTGAAAATCACTACTTTCTTTTTATGTTTGCGTTTTCCATGCTGTCTCGACTTTTTCAGATTTGGGATTGTATATTAATGAACTGTTGTCATACCATAGTGATTTTTAATTACATAAACCAAAATAAATACAAATTAATTCAACTAAATATTCTAAAATTAATTTTAAAAAGTGTGTAATATATTGTTTTCTAGTAAAGCTTGTCAGCAGCTTATAATAAAGAAGTAAAAAAATGTATTTATCCCTTCTAAATGTATACATAATGGCTTTTATAAGTGTCAAGACAGCACATCTATTTGAGGAGACCAAAAATCAGTGCCCATAGGGTTTAGTAATGATCCTCTTGTTGTTATTATTATGTTTTACAAAATGCAAATGTATTAAATGTAAATGTAAAAGAAAGTTCCATCTGAAATTTTATGAACTTATAAGTCGTGTAATTTCCCTTCTATGTCAATTAATACTTTATTTCCATTGCCTTTAATATGAAATAAGTGAACATAAATATAGGAAAAAATAAATATATTTTAGAAAAAAACAAAATTCAGATGGCACTTAAGAGGCTTTTGCATCTAAACTCCTATATTTAAAATAATTTGTTTGCAGAATAGTTTGCTGCCCAAAGTTAGTTTTATGAAAACTGTAATACTTTACAGTAAAGTCCATCTGGCTAACTCTAGAGAAAGAAAGAAAGAAAGAAAGAAAGAAAGAAAGAAAGAAAGAAAGAAAGAAAGAAAGAAAGAAAGAAAGAAAGAAAGAAAGAAAGCATACCTACATACAAAAAATGGCATTTAATTAATTGCAATGTTAGTTTAAACTATTTTAAATAATTAAACTAATCAAATAATGATATTTATAATAACATTTTAATAAATAATTTATTATTTCAAAATGAATTAGAAAATGCTAAATTCAACATAAAGTCAAATAATGATAAAAACTGGGACCTTATCACAAATGTTTACAGTGTTATCTGAAGAGCAAAGTACATTCATTATATGTTCATTAAATGTGTCAATCTGAAAAGTTCAAGGTATTGCACCCTTATCATTAAAAACAGTACTTTGTAAATGACAGCCATAAAACCTTCTCATACAAAAAGCCTAATCATTGTTTTGATTGAATGTTAACTGATTACAAAAAAATTATCGGCGTAATTATGACATGGCAATACAATAAACAAATAGAAATATCAGTAAATTTTGACATTTAATACGTACGTCAAGAGTTTTAATTTTTTTCAGTGTGTGTGCTTGAAATTAGGGCCAAAAGACATTAAATTAAAATAGAAAAATAAAAAATGAGTGAAAATAAACAAAAAAATGGCAAAAAAGCACCTCTGTAAGTGTCTGCCTACTGTAAAATTTTTTGCAGCATTAGATTAAAACCTTCACATTAAAACTCATAATCGAATATATGTACTGTTAGACCCCTAAAGAAAAGGTTTGCTAAATTTGGCAGCCTAAGTGAAGTGAGGGGGTTTGCATCTTTAATAAAATATGACAGTTCATATCCAATGAAAAGAATGAGTAATAAATTCATATAAAATCTTTTAAAAGTGACATGTCTTCATTTGATGTGTCTGTAGTTTGATCTTTAGTTTATATTCACAGAATTACAAGTCACTCAAAAAACTTACTGATACTCTTAACCTGAATGCTTGGAATGTTGTGAAATTTAGGATTTATTGTTGTAAATGAAAAGCTTATTTAAGTTACTGTAGCTTAATCACTGAATATGAAAACATGTTTTATAACTTATGAAAAGTTAAGCTTGCTGCAAACCACAGATGCTTGGGAATTAAGAGTAGATGTTGAAAGAAAACTGCAGTTCCCAGAAATGGTTAATACAGCTCTTCATTCAGATATTGTCTTTGGGTCAGATAAAGACCGTAAAATCATTTTAATTGAGCTGACTGTGCCGTGGGAGGAGGGTTGTGAAGAGGTTCATAAGAGGAAGGCCTTAAAGTACACGCCACTAATCCATGAGTGTAAAAACAAAGGTTGGCAGGCATGGCTGTTTCCTGTGGAGGTAGATTATAGAGACTTTCCAGCAAAGTCAGTATGGTTACTTATGTCAGCTTTAGGCATGGAAGAGTAGAGCAAGAAACATGCTGCTCGCAGGATTAAAGAAGAAGCAGAATGAGTTTCATGCTGGTTATACAGTAAGAGAGAGGAGGAAAGCTGGAAGCTATGATTAGATGGCCAGTGGCTTGGCCACCACTGCCGACCCACCAGTTGGAGAGTGTTGTGGTAAGGATTGAAACAATCAGGGAAAGTTAGGAGCCACCTGATGACATCTACTTGTGGCAGAAAGCTATGGTTGCATAATGTAGAAACCAAAGTAAGCACCAAAATAGATGTATGTCACAATTAACGTAAACATATTTTGCCATGTGTATTTCCTTTTATACTGTGTGTGTGTACATCTGTCAGCAAGTGTTTACACAGTTTTTATGCTACTAAAATGTTTGACAATTGACTTATTAGCACAATTAAATTGCATTCAATTGTAATGAGATAAAAACTGTTGTTTCTTGTTGTTTTCTTTCAAAATAGGCCTATAGGAATAACTTATTTTCTTTTGATTCTTAAATAAAGAGAAACTTAAAATTACTTGCAGTTAAAATTAGCACTTAATGCCTATATATATATAAGAAACAGCTGACCATATAAAATTATTTTTTAATGACATGTTATACTATTTCTAGAGGTCAATTAATAAGAATGACACTACAAGATAATAACAATAAAATAGGAACAATGAATAGTACCACAAATCCAAAAACTAAATATCAATATGATGTAACAACTTAGTATGATTTCATGCTTTTCCTACTTGTCCATGTTGAACCTTTTATTTAATATTACATCAACTTCTTAAATGTAACATTTAGGCAACATTTTAAAGCAGACAAGAATTATTCTTAATTTGCATGAAAAGCCATAAAAATTTATTTTCATATAGTCATTAAATGTTTGTTTTATAGTTATTTTGGGGAAAAATAAAATATATGTACTAGCAGGTTACAGAAATGAGGGTAACACTTTATTTTGATGGTCCATTTAAGTATTAGGAGACTGCTTAATATCTGTTAAGACTGCTCCTTCAACAGACATAACTGACTAATAGATATTTTACAAGTACGCCAACTCACACTAACCCTAACCCCAGCATAACAGTCTACTTTTAATCTAATGAGAATTAGGTGGCATGTAGATGCAATGTAACTTAAATTCAACAAACGGGCCATCAAAATACAGTGTGACCGAAATGAGACTCGCAATGCAATCTCACTCTGTTGTTGCATGATGTGGACATGATGTGGATGTTGGTTCTTGGAGAAAAAATGAAAAAAAATGATGGTGAAAAATACATTTTACTCAACATTAATTTTACTTTTAGTTTATTAAAATACAACCAGATTCATCATATGTCACTGTACATGATGCTATTTATTTATTTACCTTAACTGTCACTTTTATAAAGGGTTTATAGACATTTCTGGGTAAATTAGCACATGGCTATTGCAGTCAGTCAGCCATATTAAAAATGTCATAAAGCAACAAATAATTGGAATATTTGAAACCACAGAAAAAATAAAGAAGTTAAAAACACATTTGGTCAGAAAAAAAAAAATAGAAAAGCTCTTTGGAAATCAGTTTCAGGGGCAAATTTCCCCTTTAAAGTTCAGTATCTTTGTGTGTGTTTGTACCTTGTATTGCTTACATTATGGGGTATCAAATGTCAACATTCTGACCTTGCGTAAACATTTTCTTGGTCACGATGAAGAAAAAGGCTAATACATTGCACAGAATTAAATGTTTTAAAAATGTATAAATGCAGATTGTTTCCTGTGAGGGTTGTGTTTATGAGTAGGTGGATAGAATACACAATCAGTATAAACATCAATGCATTATCTAGGGGTAGTCCCCATAAAGATAGCTGTACAAGTCTGCGTGTTTATGATACTTGAGTGACAGGATGGTCTTTTTTTGTGATGTAGGGGGTGAACGGTGACATTGTCCCCCCTCTCTGTCACGTGCTGTGGAATATGCTGGCTGCTTTTGTCAGCCTGTGACTCGTTCTGCTTTTCTGGCACTTTCATACAATGGTGCCCTCATGCACTGATGTTATCAAGCCCCTCATAGTGCGACTGCTGGAACTCAGGCCTTATGGAAGCATCCTTACCTTGGACACATGGATAACGCAACCTTGAGACACAGCAAGCGCTCATAGCAAGGAGGACTCCGGGAGTCAACGATCAGGTGATTTTTTAATTTTTTTCTACCCGTGTATTAGTTTTTTTTTTTGTTTGTTCTGTATTGACATATGCATGAACATAATATGAAAGTCTGAGGTCATAGTGCTGGGCGATATGGCAAATATCTCATATTGTGATGTAAGTAATGTGCAGTTAAAGAACTATTAGCCACTCTTTGAATTTTCTTTTTTAAATAATTCCCAAATGATGTTTAACAGAGCAATAAAATTTTCACAGTATGTCTGTTATTTCTTTTATTTTCTTCTGGAGAAAGTCTTGTTTGTTTTATTTTGGCTAAAATAAAAGCAGTTTTCATTTTTTTTTAAAACCATTTTAAGGTCAAAATTATTAGCCCCATGAGCTATATATTTAGCTATATTTTTTGATAGTCTACAGAATAAATCATTGTTATAAAATATTTTGCCTAATTACCATAACCTGCCTAATTAACCTAGTTAGGCCTTTAAATGTCACTTTAAGCTGTAAAGAAGTGTCTTAAAAAGTATCTAGTAAAATATTATTTATTGTCATCATGGCAAGGACTAAATAAATCATTTATTAGAAATGAGTTATTAAAACTATTATGTTTAGAAATGTGTTAAATAAATCTTCTGTCCGTTAAACAAAAATTGGGGAAGAAAAATACACAGCGGGCTAATAATTTAAGGGGGCTAATAATTCTGACTTCAGCTGTATATACTATAGTATAGATATAGTATTTTTCTATTTATTTGACCACATGTTAAAGTATATACTCTAAAATGTACTTGCTACGGTGTGTGGTCATACATCAATTTATTTAGAATTTTAGGTCAGGTCTTTGACTAAAAGTATAAAAAAAAAAAATGTATCACTTGCTAAAATGCAAATTGTAAACACTGGACTATCATTGTAACTTTCTAACAGTTTTAGTTTTCATTTTTCTGTCTGTATCCCTGTATTGGTGTGTAATATTGCACTCATGTACAGTTGCAATCAGAAATATTAGCCTCCCTTTGAATTTTTTTTCTTTTTTAAATATTTCCCAAATGATGTTTAACAGAGCAATGACATTTTTACAGTATGTCTGATAATATTTTTTCTTCTGCAGAAAGTCATATATGTCATATTCATGATATAGTATTTTTCCATTTATTTGACCACAGTAAAAGCACTATAAGTTTTTTACATGTCAGAAATGCACTCACTCACACGGTATGTGGTCATACATCAATTTTTTTAGAGGTTTAGATCAGGTTTTTGATTAAGAGTGTTGAAATAAAAAATAAATGTATCGCAAACTAAAATGCAAAGTGTAAACACTGGACTATCAAGATTGTAACTTTCTCATGGTGGTGTTATTCATTTTTCTGCCTACATCCCTGTATTGGCATGTAATATTGCACTCATATAACTTATGAAAAAGTATTACAGTAAACAAAGCATTTTGTGACACCACACAATAAACGATAGAGCACAATATGAAATGATAGTCTGAAGAAACAATGCTAAACAAAAACAGTATAAAAAATATGATGCAAAGTACCAAAAAAATAAAAAATAAAAAGTATTGATGATGACATGCATCATATGATAGTTGGATGTTTTTAGATTCACTTAAGCTCAAGGTGCTCCTTGGTTTACAATTTTTCTTATACCATGATTGTCAGGTTCTGCTGACACATATTCATGTAAGTGTGCATTGTTGCACATATTCATTATTTTTTCACTTATTTATTTTCCTTGTTCATGGAGATTAGTTGCTACTGGCATAAAATCAACAGATGTCATATTTATGAAATATATGTTCATTTTCCAATTTTAGTTCTATCTAAAATTATTGATTGCATTGCATATTTTCTTGTATACATTGCTTTACTTAATATCTAGGGGCTATATTGATGCAGCTCCTTACTCCAAACAATATATGAATTAATAAGAAGCATTTAAAACACATTGGATTTATCGATTATATGCAAAAATCCTGTTCTTATTTTATACGCAGTTAGAATACATAAATATTGTTTGGAGTGTTTGTAATGGATTTGTACATAATAGAGCAACAGAACTCAGAAAAAGTGTCAACATTTCTTTAAACCTTAAGGTTTGTTTATGAATTACTCTTATGGGCTAACTGTAATTCGGGGCTGCTGTTGATGCAGGATGTCTCTGAGAACAGAAGGGGTCCAGTGTGCTGGTGTTGCTGTGGAGTTTGACAATGATAATGACAGAGAATCATCTGTGGTCAAAGCCAGGAATATACCACGTATGTTTGTTTTACTTAAATATGTGTTGCTGTTTTTGATACTAAATTACTGCTTTATTATTACCATATATATGACTAGACTGTAAAAAAAAAAATCTGTTAACGTGTCTGTATTTTCACGATTCACAAGTTTTTTTTTTTTTTTCACATTTACTTAGGGTTATAAATGGCACTATGGCACCCTGATCTCTGCTCTGATGTTGAAAATTTAACTGCACAGTTTAGCAAAGTGACTTTTATTGACATTTTAAAAGTTTGAAACAATATATTGTGTAATAAAGAATATATACAATTTAAAATATATCTGTAAATTAGCAGTTTCCCATATATTGAGATCCATGTGTTTTTGTTTTTTTTATTCTTTATTTATACTTTTAAATTACATTTTGGGACTTTAATCTTTTTTTCAACAACTTTTAACCTTGAAAAGTTTGATAAAGTGACTTTTATTAACATTTTGAATAGTTTAAAGTGAAATGTTGTCTGGGTTAGTGTAGTATACGGTACAAAAACCATTTAATAAGCTGCCAGTGCACTTATTTCTTTCTCTATATATTATTTCTTACATATTATATTATTTCAGACAACTAAGATGTCTATAAATGTAACTTTGTTAAACTGTAGAATGGCAATTTCTATATCAAAAGTTGACAGAGCAGAGATCAACAACACATAATCCAATTTACAACTGTACATAAACTAATTAACAGATGTTTATTTTACGGTGTACATTATTGAGTTGGTAAAATAACAGAAAAATGACTGGCAGTTTATTACCAGGCAGGCTTGTTATCATGTCAAACTATTTAAAAAGTCAATAAAATTTCCTTATTCTTCAAACTTATTAATGTCAACAGCTGCATAAACAATGAGCAAACACGAATCACAAAATACAGAAAACTGCAGATATTTTTACAGTGTGTACTGTGTTTTTCACATTGACACATTGTCAAAAATTACAAAAAGATCCACTGAAAGATGCTAACGATGCATGTATACAAAGTGAGTTGTTACATTTTTTTGATGTCAAATTTTCTCACAAAAAAAGTGTAATTAGATTGGATTTGATTTAACATTACTGTAATTACACATGTAGAGTGCAGGGTATCGAAATGCAATTAGAACCTAACCAGAGTGCAAATCTTAATTCTGCAAAACACTAATTATTTTCAATATCTGATAATCTATACTTTCTATACACTTTTCCTGGCACTACCCAAAAAAGTTTGAACCAACCAACTATACTTGATCTATTGTTTCATTAACATTTCAATGCTTTTTAGATCAAATATTCAGAATAATTAACTGAGGGAAAAAAAAATGATTAAACACACACACACACACACGCACGCACGCACACACACACACACACACACACACACACACACACACACACACACACACACACACACACACACACACACACACACACACACAAACACACACAAACACACACACACAAATAGTTCATAGTTCATGAATTAATATCCTCAATTCTCCTTCATCATAAATGCAAATGGCAAAAGCGACCAGTATAGTACTTCACTGTTATGTTTCCACCTGGTATCTCAGTTCATTTGTGCTAAATGTTAATTTAAAAGAGGTAGTCAGTGATCTGACCGCACGTGAGCTTGAGTACATGTTTGTATCTGGTGTGTTCTAATGTGTCTCATGACCATTTGTGCTCAGATTTTGTTAAAACACTTACCTCTTGCTTACTCTCAGTATTACGCTCTCAGCATTATACACTATTGAATAAATGAACATGTTATACAATTTATAACAAGCTGGAAAGCAATTAATAAAGTCATAAACTATTTTTAACTATGTTATCAAGATGTTTACGTTTAAAAACATCATCATTTTGTAAAGGTGTAACAATACACCACCCACATGGTTTGGTTTGATTTGTTATGGTTTGGTTCTGTTAGCTGTGTGGGCAATGCGGCAACAGCATTTTAAGGTTTTCTAGATACATTTTTGACTTATTAATAGCAACAGCTAAGCTTATTTCATTTGTACACTGGATTTACATGTTAATTTAGTGTAGTCAGCTGATTAAACTAAAATGAAATGCCTCAATAGCAAACTTTACAGAAACAAACACTTTACATACAGTGCATTTTGATTGTTCAATTAATCTACAAAAACATATACTGTACAGAATGAAATGTTTACTGTTTTTCAAATATTTCACAGTATATTTCTCTTATTATGTTTTTGTTTGTTTTGGAGAAAAAAAGTGTAAAAATTAAAACTGCAATATTATTGGACACATTCTATTCTATTTAGCCACTGAACAAACCCCCATTGTGCAATGTCTTGCCTATTTAACCTAACTTGAGCTAATTAACCTTGTTAAGCCTTTAAAATGCACTTTAAGCTGAATATTAGTATGTTGCAAAACAACTATGTACTTTTATCATAGCAAGGACAAAATAAATGAGTTAATAACAATTAGTTATGAAAACTATTACGATAAAAAAGTAATATAGAGTTGCATATTTCCAAAGCTTTGTTTTAAGATTATGTCCCAAAGTTTTTGCATGTGTGTTTGATAGCCTACATTAGATCAGGGGTCACCATTCTCATTCCTGGAGGTCCGGTGCCCTGCAGGGTTTAGCTCCAACTTGCCTCAACACACCTGCCTGGGTATTTCAAGTATACCTTGTAAGACCTTGATTAGCTTGTTTAGGTGTGTTTGATTAGGGTTGGAGCTAAAAATCTGCAGGACACTGGACTTCCAGGAGCAAGTTTGGTGATCCCTGGCCTACATCCTTCACATAAAAATCAATAGTGACCTATAATGAAAACAGTTACAGTATGTGATGTGACATTACTGTCTGACCCAATACAGTGGACATAGCATCATCTTTAGTTTAAAACTTTAGCACAATCTGTTTGTAAACAAAAGAAAAAAAAATCTTTCTGAAGTGGATGAACATATAGGAATACTTTACCCAAAAATGAAAATGTACTCACTATTTACTCTACTCTTACTAAGTGGTTGCAAACCTTAAAACCAAAAATGCTATGGGAGTCATTTCAAGATTCCAGCTTTCTTAAAAATATCTTCTTTAATGGTCAACAAGCAGATAGAAACTCATTGGGTTGATGGGTTGAAAATATGATAGAATTTTCACTTTGGGGTAAACAGTCCCTTTAAAAGCACCACAACATTCCAATAATCAAACACATCACCCCTGTATAGTCCAAGGAATATTGCCTTTACGTATTAAATAAACTTACTGTTAACCAGGTTGCAGATATATAAATTTTTCAGTAGCGTAGTCTTTTTAGACAAAGACTACAGAATACACAAGACCTGTCACTTCTATTTTTTTTAATGGGTATAAAGTGTAACTGTCTGATAATGAGTTCTTGAACTGTAAAGGACAATATATTTTTAATTTGTTTATGCTGTTAGGAAAATACCATATACATAAGAAAAAACTTGGCTCAATGTAAACCAAACTTTACCCATTTTGTGAATGACTTTAAAGTATATGTAAATCTTTCAGAACAATCACAAAACAAAAAAAGCACTGAAAACATGTAATGCTCTGAAAACATTTAATTTGTAAATGTAATTTTATTTAATTTTTTTATACATATTTGTTTTTTCTCTTTCAGAAACTATGTGAAATTTAATACCTCTCGTTCTTGTGGCATTGAGTTAATAAAAAAAACAAAAACAAATAACAATCAATTAAAATAAAGTGTAACTGTCAATTTGATGAACAAGATCGAATCATTGATCGCTATATGGTGAAAAAGCCTGCCTTCTAATACAGGAGCCACTCATCAATCGCTATAGACTGACGATCCTCTGGGGAAGGGGCTTGGTCCAGACATCAGTTTCTGCATATTTTGTTTTTTTTGTTTGAAAGAAATTTTATTTTATTGATGATGCCTAATATGAAATTTATTCGTAAACTTGGCAGGCAATATTGGAGAATTTAATGTTTCCCCATTCAAACAGAATGCTCAGACATACTGGAAACTCACGTCTGGTCCTCCCCCCCTCCCCCAGAATATAGAGTGGAGAAACTATGACGTCAATTTGTATGCAAAAATCCGGAAGCGAGTTAGCATTTTAGCAGTTCCGGTTCCCTCGTCCCGGGTTTTTTCAATGGGGTTTCAGTAAAATCGCTTAAATAAGGTTCGTGTAAAACACAAACTCAAAATACTTTCACGTTTTGTTCTAGAACATAAAACACATCAGTTACACCACACTCTTGAATTTTTAAATCGGTTATGCTTCTTTAAAAAGACGGTTGCTATCAAGTTGCTAATTGGGACTACAGGCGGTGTCGGAGACATTACACGTCATCGAGCTGATCTGGTCTAGAGCGCAGCTCGCTCGTGATAGGCATTTGGATTAGTCTGTTATTTAGGTATTTTCATGAATAGTATTTTATAGTTTGTAGTATTATTCTAATTGGGAATTCAGATTGTGTGCAGATAATTCCTTCACTTGTAAAGGCTGTCGAGACAGATTAATTTTGTTGATAATTTATTTAAAAAATAATAATTTATTTTAATAAACAATAATATGAAGATAACGTACTGCTTACTAGTGCAGCCTGTCTTTTTCCTGCTCTCAGTAATGCAAACGTATGAATAAATGTGTAAAAATACACGCATGTTAACTGTCATTTTAACGCGATCAAGTGATTTTTTGTCTTTTTTTCTTCATCTGAACACATTTAACTCTGTCATGACAGCAATATCCTCCGTAAAATGTACATCATATTTGACTGTATGGGCTGCTTTTCAGTGTATTTCGTGACAAAAAAGGAATATTGAATGTTGCTCTATGTCTATATGGAACTTGCAGGCATTTTCATACACTTCCTCACGCCTCATTTCTGTCGTCTGTTAAGGTAAGCAGGCTTTATGCACTCGAGCGATACACTTATTTAAATGTGTTATGATAATACTATGTAGGCAGTTTTAAACAGTTTTTAAAACTTTTAGAACAACCGTAAAGCAAAACAGATGTATTTCCCACGTAAAAACGATCCAAAAATCTCATAGGTCTATGTGTTTTTGCGTATTCATTTGTTTATAATATATACCGTGGATTATACTATAATAAGCATAGAGATTAACTCTTTGTCATGGACATTATTTCTAAAAAAAAATAAGCTTGAAAAGTTGCCTGTAGCCGGGTGGTGCTGACGTCACATGCGAGCGCCCCGAGGGCACTGTAGTCCGTTTATAGCCTTATGTTAGCTTTTCAAGTCTTGTGTTTGTATTTAGGATCTAAAAGTGCTCAAAGTTGTATTTTCGTCTGAGGATTATCCGACTGGACAAAACGTGTAAGTGTCATGAACAGTGTTTGAACACAGAGCTTATTATTTGCAATCTTCAAAAAGCTTATTCACGAGGGAACCAGTTTTATGCTAGCAGCCGATTAGCCTACAAATTGACGTCATAGGTCCTCCAATATAGCGATTGATGATTGGCTCGTGTACTAGAAAACGGGCTTTTGCGATCGATGATTGGCTCCCGTACTAGTAGGAGGGGCTTTATTCAGCATATTGAACGTTACACTTTCCCCCATTCAAAAAATTACAAGTGGCATGTATTGTGTATTCTATAGTCTTTGGTTTAGAGCAGTAATTATTGATAGAATTTTCTTTTTTTTCTTGAAGTACATGGTTCCGCTACATTCATTCTTCCATGGCGGGGCGCCACGCCAAAATTGATCCCGCCACTGCTAACGTTACAGCTTCTCATTCAAAACATTTATTTTTTTTAATAGCAGGCAATAACCACACCAAAACGTATTAAAGGTAAGTGAATTATAACAGCGCGAACTTTTCTGTAATCGTAAAAGTGCTGTGCGTCATGTGTTTAACCCTTTCAGGGTTACGTGCTGACTGACTTCAGGACGCATTAATATTGCTCTGTAGGTTTATTGGAGACATTCATAAATATTCCTAGCAAATCTAATAAATGCTAGAAACATACTCGTTACATAAACGCACTAAATCGCATTCAGCAGCGTTTGTTTGAGAGCGCACAAGATTTTATATTATTATTATTATTATTATTATTATTATTATTATTATTATTATTATATATTTGAAGGGGCGTGCAAGAAGTTTTGTGCACGAGCAGAGGAAATCGGCGCGCAAGCAAAGAGATCCGCATGCTGTGTAGGCTATTACATAAATGCAATCTCGACTTCTAATACTGAGCTCACGACATTTGTCATTGAAATAACGGCACAGGTAGTTGGTAGATCTGTGTAAAAAAAAGCCTGCCGCCACAGGTGAAAAACAGGCTGTCTGGTATGAAACTGTTTATTCTATAACAAAAGCATACATCATGCAAGAAATCAATATTTCAAGACCCTTTATCATTTAGGATCAGCCCTCATCTACCTCAAGGGTCCCAAGTTCCTCATCTATGTGAGTGGAGCGTTATCTATGTGGGTAAGGAGATCTGCAATGCTGGCACACATGAGCTCTGGCAAAGTATTTATTTATTTTTAAATCATACTTTAAGAAGAGCACACAAAATATGACATGATATTTCAAGCTGATTGTTGCTTTTCATGTGCCAGGGTGATCGCATGTGGCATTTCGCCATCTCTGTCTTCCTGATTGAGCTCTATGGACATAACCTACTGTTAACTGCCATCTTTGGACTAGTGGTGGCCGGATCGGTGCTCTTATTAGGGGCCTTGATAGGAGACTGGGTCGATCGCAACCCAAGGAACAAAGGTAAAATAAGTGATGCATTTATGAATGTCAGTTTTTTTATTCATTAAAATAAGTTTAATAGAAGGGTACCATAAATGTTATGTTAATCTGTTTTCTCTACAGTGGCCCATGCATCCCTGTTCATTCAGAACACCTCAGTGACTGTCTGCAGCATTGTGCTTATGTTGGTTTTCTCATACAAAAAATGGATTGAGGAAATCTGGGATGGGTGGCTGACTGTAAGTCTCTCCTTTATTAATACCTTTCAGGATTCAGGTCAAAATCTTCTGTTTATAGTAGCACTTTGTACCTTCAATCTCTCCCTAACCCCTGCTGAACATAAGCATTCCCGCTGCTATGACATAGCATACATAGTAACTTGTTGCATCACACAACTCACACAAGGTGGTTTGTTATACGGTGGTGATCATCCTGGCAGATGTGGCGAACCTCGCCAGCACAGCTCTCACCATTGCCATCCAGAGGGATTGGATAGTGGTGATCACAGGCTACAACCGTGGTCACCTCGCAGGTATGACATTTTACTTCTCTTAGACAATGCTTATCGGTTACTGGAAATCACAAACAATTGAAATCAAAGTCAGCAAAAAACATACTATTTCCTAAATTTTAACACCGCTGCCTTGTGGTATTTAAAGCTACTAAAACTGCAGTTTTAAGCATTTTCAGATCCTTCCAGTAATTTGTGTAAAAGGGATAGCAATGTACACCCTTGTTCCAAACCTGTTTGAGTTTTTTTTTTTGGGTTTGTGACAAGTGAAGGATGAGTTTTGGGCAAGCTATCCATTTAAACAGATATATAGCAGAGTAAATGGAAATGTTTATCAGAAGCACCTTCAGTAACATGCCATTCCTCATCATTCAAAATAAGACATCAATTCGTATGAGCCATTGGGTAAAGCAGTTCCTTGAAGCTGAAAACACTAACATAATGCAATGGCAGCCTACAGTCCTAATCTAAACTTGATTGAAAAATATCTGGAATCTCAAAAAAAAGACTTGGAAACAAAGTTATAACCACGAAACCCACTACAGTCCGTGACCTGTGGAAGAGACAGAAGAAGATTGATCAACATCACAGGAATGTGAAAGACAAGTCTTGTGGTGCAGATGTGCTGAAGTCATTCAAGGCAAGGGCCTGGACACTTCCTACTCATTTTCTTAAATGATGCAGATTAAATCATTAAAAAAAGAAAATACTATTTTTATCAATTTTGACATCCACAAGTTTTTTTATCCACTGTAGGTAATTTAAAAGTGCTTACAAACATGCAAGTTCAACAACTGCATTCTAAGCATCATAGTTTCTAAAAGCATCAATTACTAAACCATGAAGCAGTTCCATAATGTTGCATAAAAAGCATACAGTAAAATGTTAACATGTTGTTATACTAACACTACAATGCTATAATAAGCACACATGTAGATTAAACACCAAATAATAGTTTTTATTTCTTCCTGATGTAGGAATGAATGCTACGATGAGGCGGATTGATCAGGTTACCAACATCCTGGCTCCCCTGGCGGTGGGTCAGGTAATGACCCTGGCCTCTAATGTGGTTGGCTGTGGCTTCATCTTAGGATGGAATGTGGTGTCCCTCATTGTAGAGTTCATCTTCCTCTCCAGAGTTTATCGTATCGTACCTGCACTGTCTGTCAAACCTCCAGCAATGGAACATCAAAGCTATCTAGAGAAGAAAAGAGAAAGAAGATGTTTAAAAGGTAATGTTTCCAAACATAAACTAGTGCCCAAACATTCTGAACAGTTTCTTTCCTAGACTTCATTCATTCATTCATTCATTTTCTTTTTGGCTTAGTCCCTTTATTAATCCGGGGTCGCCACAGCGGAATGAACCGCCAACTTATTCAGCACTTTTTTATGCAGCTGATGCCCTTCCAGCCGCAACCCATCTCTGGGAAACATCCACGCACACTCATTCACACTCATACACTACCGACAATTTAGCTTACCCAATTCACCTGCACCGCATGTCTTTTGGCAGTACAGGGAAACCGGAGCACCCGGAGAAAACCCACACGAACACAGGGAGAACATGCAAACTCCACACAGAAATGCCAACTGACCCAGCCGAGGCTCGAACCAGCAGCCTTCTTGCTTTGAGGTGACAGCACTACCTACTGTGTCACTGCGTCGCCTCCTAGACTTCAATTCAAATAACTAGTCAGGATCTCTTTCATCAAAATATGTTGATATTATTAACTACCATGTAATTAGTCTACAAGTCCATGCATGGATAGAGCAGGGCAAAAAGCAGCAAGTCAAACTCACACCAGAACAGATCCAAAAATCACGCAGAACATTTATAATTACTGACGAGTTAATAATTGGCAGAGACACCTTTGATAACCATGAACCATGACTAAATATTTCAAAAATATATTAAATATGGAGATAGAAGGAGTTTGGAGAGAGTATATAATTGGCCTGTGGCAAAGCGAGACCAGATGTATTAACTTAACTAAACATGGTAAATGTCCTGAACATTGATGATAATAAAAATAAATTATATAATAAGAAAATGATGGACGAATGGAATGAATCATGGATGGGTGGAAATATTGGTGTATGAAACAAGCACTGGGTGGATGAATTGAGATATATATGGATGGATGGATGAATAAATTAATGAATAGATAGATGTAACAACTACTGGGCAGGTGGATGGATGGTTGAAATTAATGCTCTATGGATTGATGGTAAACTGATATAATGACCACACTGTAAACCCTAATAAGTTAAGACTACTCAAATGATTTGAGAAAGGTGATTCCCTCAGTTCGTTTGAGTAATGGGAAATCAACAATTCAATTAATTTAGTTGACTAGATGGGGTCTCTTCATTGTATTAACTTAAATGTTTAAGTACAGATAACTTAAAATGGCTAATATTCGATTTTTTATTTTTTTTACTTACTTTCAGGGCCGTTTATATCAAAGTTGATATTTAGCCGCACCATGTTGGTGTTTCATAACATTTAATTTTTACGAGGTGGGTTGTTAGCCCAACGCTCAACCACCAACCTGGAGGACCAGGACATACACACATACAATACGAACAATTTAGCTTACCCAATTCACTTATAGCACACGTCTTTAGACTTCTGGGGGAAACCGGATCACCTGGAGGAAATCCACGTAAACATGGGGAGAACATGCAAACTCCACACAGAAATGCCAACTGACCCAGCGGGACTCGAACCAGAAATCTTCTTGATGTGAGGCAACAGTGCTACCCACTTAGCAACTGTATTGCCCTTGCATGTATATCAATTAGGAAAAATGTTTATAAGCATTTAAATATCTAATTTCTAATTTTTTTTTTCTTTTGTCAGATGGGTTCAGGTAGTGCTTCTGTCCTGCTGCTCTTCAGCAAAATTCAGCATCACAAGCAAAATTACCGTCTTGTGTCATTTAACATTTATCGATATATCATCATAGTTGTCAAGGAAAAATTTTCAGCGCAACCAGAGACATGGTGAATCATTTAAAGAAATTAAAATCATCACCTTAGAATTATAAGGTTCTATCTGACATTTTTGTCAACATTATGTTATTGGCATATTCTAATTAAATGACATCTCATTTACATTATGCAATGTTTTTTATAAGTTGTTTACAGTTTAAGACTTTTTATTTAAAAAACAAATGTTACACACATACTGTTTGCTATGGAATGCAAAAAATTAAAGCTCATTCTCTCAAAATCATTTAGAAAGCTAGAACCTTATAATTCCAAGGTGACAAAATGTTAAGCTCAGAGAACTTAAAACATTAATTAAAACTTTTTTGCTGCCTAATGAGTATAAAACACACTTGTTTAAGTTTTGATGCCAAAACTTGGTATTTTAAGTAATGTCAAGTTATAGTAACTTCATATCTTTATTAATGACAACAGCAGGGTTTACAGAACATTGAATGGGTTAATGAAATTAATGATGGATGACTGGAAAAATTGAATGGATAAAATAACCCATTGGGGTGGATGGATGGATGGATGAATGGAAGGAGTGAGTGATTAATAAATGGACGAATGGATGGATGTGTAGAAGAAAAGATCATTGGATAGATGTGTGGATGGATAAAATGGCTAATATAAGGATGAATGGATTAACTGAGGGATGGATTTATTAATGGATTGATTGGTGGATGGATGAATAGATGGGTTTATGAAACAAGCAATGGATGGCTGATTGGATGAAAGGAAAAAACAGCAAAACAATATAATGAGCAGAAGAAAAAACAAAAACAATAAAAAGGGAAAAAAACAAAACGAATGAATGAAAGAAAGATAGAGAGAAGAATTACCAACTATAACAGAAGAATAGATTAACCAATATTTAAACTTCACATTCACATTGACTAAATATACAATTCAAATTCACTTCCTTTATTCAGGCAGAACCTCATCATGTCCAGCTCCAGCCATCTCAGAGGAAACTTCCAGTGGCCTGCATTTACAAGAAATGACCAGAATCCCCATGTGCATCCAGCGCCTGCGTGGGCTCCTCAGCACCTGCCAGGAGGGATGGAGGGCTTACTACAGACAACCTGTTTTCCTAGCCGGCCTGGGCCTTGCATTTCTATACACCACGGTACTGGGTTTCGACTGCATCACAACGGGTTATGCCTACACGCAGGGCATCAGTGGTTCCCTACTCAGCATTCTGATGGGCGTATCGGCGGTGGCGGGGCTTTTGGGCACTGTCCTGTTCACAAAGCTGCGGAAAGCATTCGGCCTGGTCAACACTGGGGTCATTTCCAGCGCTCTGCACATGCTTTGCCTGTTGCTTTGTGTGTGCTCTGTATTTGCCCCCGGGAGTCCCATAGACCTCAGCGTACTCAATATAGGGAATGTGTCGGATGTGGGTGGAATGACTGGAGGTCATCAGAGGCACGGATACCCATTGCGTGGAGGTATCAATCAGCCTCTGCTGCCCGACCGTTCCTCCATTCACTGGACCAATAACACCGTGCTGTTTGAGAATGCACCGGCAGGGACAGAACCAGAGTCTTATATATCCATCATCCTGCTGTTTCTTGGAGTCATTACAGCTCGAGTTGGTGAGTAGATATCTGCTTTATCATATCCCTTTATTAACAATAAATACAATTCCTCCTGATCTATTTAAATGTTTTGGGGATTTTTTATTTTGCATTGAAAGTTTTGAAAACTTTGCTGAAATACATTTTAAAATAGATGCTGATTTGTTGCTAAAAACATTTTATTAAGTTGCACAGTTAAACAGTTGCTGCGTAATAGATTTACTTTTCTAATATTTTGGAAAAACTGTGATGCACAATATTTGGCGATTATTTGATGAATAGAAAGGAAAGCTTATTTTTTGATAAAAATCTGTTATTTCTAACATTCTAAATATACAGTATTATATTAGATAAATACAACCCAAATGAAAAGGTTGTGGGGCGTTTGATGGTGTTTACATCCAAATCAGGTAAACTGTGTAGGAATTAAGCTGCGGTCACATTAGAGTTTGAGCATGCGATATTCTGTCGTGCGGTGCTGCGAAAAGAAGCAGGATTAAACAAGCTTATTAGATATTTTTAAAAGCGAGCGATTGCTCCATGTTTTAAATTTCTGTCCAGAGATGTCATGTCTGCGAAACTTGACGCATGACCCCGCGTTTCCGGTCTGACGCATTCGCATGCGTATGAATGGAAGTCTATGGGAGGAAAAGCCCAGTGTGACCGCAGCTTTACAACAGTTTGCATGGGTAACTCCCACTTGTGTGGGCCCAAAAGTAATTGGACAGTTGGCTTCTAAGCTGTTCCATGGCCAGGTGTGTGTTATTCCCTCATTATTCCAATTACAATGAGCAGATAAAAGGTTCAGTGTTTATTTCAAGTGTGCAATTTGCATTTGGAATATGTTACTGTCAACTCTCAAGATGAGATCTAAAGAGCTGTCACTATTAGTCTAACAAGCCATCAATAGGCTGAAAAACAAAACAAACCCATCAGAGAGATAGCAAAAACATTAAGCGTGGTCAAAACATTCTTAAAAAGAAACACCAAAACAACACCAAAAGACCCAGAAGACCACGGAAAACAACTGTGATGGATGACCAAAAAATTCATTCTCTGGTGAAGAAAACATCCTTCTCAGTTGGACAGTTCAAGAACACTCTCCAGGAGATGGGTGTATATGTGTCAGAGTCAACAATCAAGAGAAGACTACACCAGAGTAAATACAGAGGGTTCACCTGTTATATTAGATCCTAAAAGTTATATTATCAGTTATATTAGATATAAATCAGTTATATTAGATCCTAAAACTTAGTAAGAATTATATTATTTAGAAGATTTCTTAAATCAGCATAAATTTTTAACCAACTTAAGATAAAAATGTCTACTGTTTTGCAGGTCTATGGTCATTTGACCTGACAGTGACTCAGCTCCTGCAGGAGAGCATCTGTGAATCAGAGCGAGGGGTGGTGAACGGTGTCCAGAGCTCCATGAACTACCTAATGGACCTGCTGCACTTTCTCATGGTCATCGCTGCGCCTCAGCCACAACACTTTGGCATTCTTGTCATCATCTCCGTCCTGTTCATTTTTACGGGACACACCATGTACTTCCTGTACGCCAGGAAAGCCAAGAGGAAACCACGTACAAACACTTGAGCAACACTGCTCTGCTTGTTGCTCACCAGCTTGTGAATGTGTCTCCATTCCTGTACTGTTTTCAGCTGCACTTACACAAAAGTTACTCTATCCAGATCACTATACTAAAAAAAAAAACAAATCTGTTGCTGTGATCTCTTATAACTGGGAGGAACAAAAAGGGTTTGGCAGCAACGCATTACTCAGGTCAACAAAATCAGGAAACAGCGCCTCCTGCTGACAGAAAAAAGCAACTTCATCAGTATCAGAGACCCCGTTTGCAAGTGGGCCATTCTAAAAACAGATCTAAATGGGATCTGAAAAGAGGTTGTAATTTCAAGCTCATTTCTCCAGCCTCCTAAAGTTAAACTATTGAGTTTTATCAGTTTTGAATCCATTCAGCTGATCTCCAGGTCTGGCAGGAGCACTTTTAGCTTCGCTTAGCATAGTTTATTGAATTAGACCAGGGGTAGGCAAACTTGGTCCTGGAAGGACTGTACAGTTTAAAGCAGCGGTCACACTGGGCTTTTCCTCTCATGGACTTCCATTCAAACGCTCGCAAATGCGTCAGACCGGAAATGCAGGGTCATGCGTCACTTGACTGCGTGAGACCAATCAAGGATCAAAACATGACATCTCTGGACAGAAATTTAAAACATGGAGCAATCGCTCGCTTTTAAAAATGTCTAATCCTGCCCCTTTTCGTAGCGCCGCATGACAGAAAATCGCATGCTCAAACTCTAATGTGACAACAGCTTAACTGCAACTCTAATCAAACACACCTGCTTATAGATTTCTTGTGACCATTAAGACACTGATTGGCATGTTCAGGTGTTTTTGATTAGAGTTAAACTATGCAGGACACCGGCACTCCATGACCAAGTTTGCCCACCCCTGGATTAGACCAATAGCATCTCACTCAAAAAATTAATTGTATTATCCTTCTGTGGGTACATCATGCACTAAGAAAAACAGAAAATGAAAAGTTGTTATTTTCTAGGCTGATATGACTAGGGATGACTAGCATTACCTCGTAATAGTCAAGAAACTTTGCTGCCATACCATTGGCTGCTGCAGGCGCAAAGATATTATGTAGCCCCTAAACTTGTTGGCTAATATCATTGTGCCTGCTGCAGCCATGGTAAAGCAGCAAGGTTCCTTGATTATTTCACTTGAATGAGAATATAGTTCTTAGACATATTGACCTAGAAAATAGCAACTTCTCATTTTCTGTCGGTCATAGTACAAAAATGTAACTACAGAAGAGTCAAACTTTAAATAGGAAAATTATTAAAACTCTTTGAATTATGCTAAGCTAAACATGCTAAATTGTTTAACTATAGTGGAGTTGAACCTATTTTTAAAATTAGTATTCCTTTAAACACTACAAGACATGTTGTTGAAATGCGCTGAACAAATCTTCAAGTTTTGTTTAAACATGACAAGTGTCAACATGACTTATAATGTTTGAATTAGTTTAGTAGGTACAGAGCAGGTAGTCTCTGGTGGCTGTTTGAATGTGTTCGATATTGTGAATATCTACATTACAGGCTTGTTTACACCTGGTATTAACAATGCAATAGGAGATCTTGGAAAATGCTAACATTAGCCTCGTAGCAATGAAAGCCTACATCCCACACTGCAAATCACCATCCAAAGCCATGCCTCCTGAATAAATAAACTTTCACTATACAACATCACTGTAATACATTACGTAACTTTTTTTCAAAGTTAAACTTTATAATACAATTAGTAATTACAATAGCAAACTTTAAAAAAAAGGTAGGTTTTTGATGTTTACCTTCCATTCTTTATCTAAACCTCATCTGTGAATGTGCTGATGATGTAATCTGTAATTGATCTGTAATTGCAGAGGTATGAAATCAAATATTTTCAGGACAAACATTGTGATTGGACAAACTTAACTTGGTCTACATCTTCCACAGAATATTAAAAGACATATAGTTTTGGACCACTTAATTATATTATTGTTACCAGAATGCGAAGAGACTTTTAACCAGCATAACAAAAATAGTTTCTGAAGACAATCACCTAGGCCACCCTAAAAGTACTTATTTATTTGTAGATCTGATCACAAATGGAAAATCTGATCAACCAAAATGCTTAATACGAGCTGTAAACGGGCCCCTAGAAGTTAATAAGTGTCTTAAAATGCACAGTATTACCACAAGAACATGACTAAACACAGCTGACACAACATGTTTTCATTGATCATTAGCCAGGCAAACACCTTTTTTGTAAATCTTCTCACATTTGTCAACTTACCAGCACGTTGCCACCAGGCGTTTTTTTATTTTATTTTATTTTTTATTAAATATCAGTAAATGTCTCTTTTTTTCATGATTACTTGGTTTCTGAATAAAGCACACAAAGTACAAATCTCGTCCAACAGACAAAAGATGTTTTTTACAGCATATAAGGAGACTATCTTTCTTTCTTTTTTGTGCTTTTAACTGAATGATTAATCTTTTAGTTTGATCCCTAACTTTTCAAGTGAAATATTAGTGAGTTTTAACAAGACCGTGGACTTTAATGTATCTGTTGCATGTTTATATAATTATCATGTCAAGGTCTTTTAACTGACTACTATAACTGAGTGTTCTTTAGAGTTCAAAATGGATGAAGACAGAATCTTATACCTCAGCACTTAACTGTTATGTTTTGAACTCTAGCTTAAACTTATTTGTGGACAGTAACTACAGAAGTAATGGTTAACAGATACGTAAAATATTCAGACTGCATTTCACCTGTTTAATTTGTGTTAATAATATATTATATGGATTATGAGACAGTTCTTTTCACTGATTATTTTTACTGCTGATGTGTAATGTTAAATGTTGTTTGAGGACTCTTTAAGTGTCAGACAGTTCAATGAAAACCAATAAAATTGCTTTGAGAAGGCATGCCGAAAGCAGTGTTTTTTTGTTGAAATATATACTCAGTCTATATATATCGTCACCTTGTAATTAAAAGGTTCTATCTGCTTTGTGAATGATTTAAAGATATTGAGCTTCAAAGATTTTACATTTCATAGCAAACAGTATGTATGTAGCATTTTTTTATAAAAAGTCTTAAACTGTTAACATCCGAAACAAAAAACATCTCATAATGTAAATAAGTTGTCATTTAATAAGAATATGTGAATAACTCAATTTTGACAGAAATGTCAGATAGAACCTAAGCATCAACATAAGCATCGACTAGCAATTAAAATACTAGCAATTAAAATATAAAATAATGGATGACTAAAAACTAAAAAATATTTTAGTCATTCATTATACAATAAATAGATAATATGTTTTAATTTTCTTCGTCATGTAGCCAAAAGAACCTGATGAGCCTGTAATTATGCCCTGTGTCCACCAGATGTCAATAAAAGCTATATATATATATATATAAAGAAAATACACAATGACCCAAATTAACATATTTAAATGTGACTTTAAAATATATTCTACTAAAGTTTTTCTCAAAAAATAAATTAATTAATTAAAAAAGAAATTAATTAATTAATTAAAAAAATAAAAAAATTATGATTTGCCTGCAAAACTACAGATAAAAAACTAAAATCTGCAGCATCATCACACATAGGGTACATTTATGCAACACAATTCTTTTCTTTGCGGATAAATGAAAGACTAAAAACATTTATCTGTGCTAAAATCCATTACTGTAGTTTGCCATTTTTTTGCTTTGGTTGCCAAGTGTTCATAGACTATGTTTTATGCTTGCAATATCCAATTTACAATATCCTTTCACATGGCATTGCCTTTTTCACAAATAAATTTTTTTTTGTATTTGCACAGAAAATAAAAAATCTAAAACAAAAATTTTAAATTGGCAATTTCAAGCCCACATATTGTCATTGTTTAAGTATTTATGGCCAAAAACTCTAAACATGATATAAACATTTCCAGATGTATTATGTTTAAATTGACCTATGCACAGTTATTCAACTTGCAAAGGGGGAAAAAAAATACAAATGTTTTTGTGTGTGTTTGAAAAACATCTAACTGCTTATGAGGTGGCATGGTGGCTCAGCGGTTAGCACTGTTGCTGCACAGCAAGGTGGTCGCTGGCTTCCTAGCGGGACCCAGCTGGGTCACTTGGCATTTCTTTGTGGAGTTTGCATGTTCTCTTAATGTTCATGTGGGTTTCCTCCGGGTGCTCCAGTTTCCCCCACAGTACAGGTAGGGGAAACTGAATTGCCATAGTCAAAAAAAGCCATAGTCTAAATTAGCCATAGTGTATGTGTGTGAATGTGAGTGTATAGGTGTTTACTTGGTTGTGATTGGAAGGACATCTGCTGTTTAAAACATATACTGGATAAGTTAGCTGATCATTCCGCTGTGGCAACCCCTGATTAATAAAGGGACTAAGCCGAAGGAAAATGAATGAATGAATAATTATCTATAAATCAAGTCATCAAGTAGCCATATAGATTTAGCATTCTTTTGGCCTCATTGCTTGGTGAGATGTCTGAAGAACAAATACATGTGTCAGGGAAGTTATTCAAGTCTGTTATTTTACATAATATTCATTTTTAGAGTGGAAATGTGATGTTGTTTTACAGTTTAAAATGATATGTTTATCATCAGCTGTTTTGTGTTGGTGACTTTTTTTGACACATTTATTGTGTCAATATGCAGCCTCCAGTCATCTTTTTAACAGTAAGAATAGCATGACACAAGAAATGCATTGCATACTTATCGTACATGACAGAAACAAGATTCACAGTACTATGTAAATATGTGCTCTCCTAGAATTGTTTTTGCCAAATAATACTCTTCACAAGAGTTCAATTAATGCATATGTTTTATTGTTTGTTTTGAGAGGAGAATATGGGAGTTTAAGAAGGGAGATGGACTGAAGCATCCTTGAGCATTGCTTTAAAGGCGATGAAGACCAGTAGCAAAGGTTGGGAGCTGTGGAACAAGAGCGCCAAGCCACCTCCTGCTCAAGATTTCCTGCCTCAAACAGCCTGAAACGTTCCTCTCAAGACAATAACATGTAGGGTGGCTGTTCTTCAGTTCTCCAGGTTGGTGTCCTAAAATAAAAACAGCAATTAGTTTATCAAAAGTGAATCCAAATCTAATATTCTCTAAGCTAACATCCATAGTCTTATGTTTGAATTAACCCTCCCAAAATACTCTGCTTAGGCTTCATACCTTGAACCATTCGTGGAGAAGAATCTCTCTTAATTTAATCCGCTGCTCAGGCTTTTGCTGGAGACAGCAACTAATCAACTGACAACATTCTGTGAAAAACAATTGAAACATCTGTTTACCTTGAACTTCACACCTCCTTTGATGTTACATGTAAGAGTCTTTGAAATAAAGAGCTTACCATTGGACAAGCCAGCTTTGGAGTAGTTGTTCTCATTGATCATTTGCAGTTCTTGAGTGTTGGGAAAGTCCCCACACACCAATACGAACAAGAGGATGCCAAGGGACCAGACAGTTGCCGGCTTCCCATTGTATTCACCCGTTTCCTCAAACTCTGGGGGGCAGTACTCAAGGGTGCCTAAAGGTAAAAGATTTTTGCATCAATTAGCATTTGGTGCTATAAATTCAGAATATTGTTTTTCACAGCTTAAGGGTTAATACATACCGGCAAATGTATCGTAGGGTAATTTCTTGAGAAGGTCCCCACACCCAAAGTCTATTAATTTGACTTTATGAGTCTCTTTGTTGATCAGTAGATTTTCAAGTTTGATATCGCGATGTAGAACACCATGGCGGCAGCACATGTATGCAGCTTGAGTTGCCTGCTGCATAACAACTTGCGCTAAACCTTCACTTATGGATCCTCCATAGCTTTCTGTGAAAGCAAATAGGTCCTCACAGGGTGAAGGGTATTCCAACACCATTATATAATGGTCTTCCTGGTCCTGCCAGTCCAGAAGCTGTATTATTTCTGGAACGTTGGATACTCCATGGGCGAGGATGAGAAGTGCAACTTCAAGAGGAAGGGGCTCTGAATAACCCGACTACAGGAAATACAATTTTTATGATGTTTAGATAGATATATCTTTTATAGATTATGAATTGAATCATAATTTCACAAAATTTCGACAACAGTAGCTTGTCTTATGAGAAATCACTTACGATACATATGTATTCCACATCTTCCGTCTTTGTGACAAATTTCACTGCCACCTAATAAACAAAAAATAAGCAAAGTGTATGTAAGAAAGATTGTACAGCTAACATACTGTATTTGATACTATTTATCCAATCCAGAAAAAAAGAAAGGCACCTTAAAGTCATCGTGTAGACGTCGCCCCTTGTACACAGTTCCAAAGGATCCTTCACCCAGCATGTCATCGATCAGATAGTGGCAAGAATTGATGACTATTAAAACAAAAACCAAGGTTAAGTAATATGAAATATCAATCAGTGTCCAACAGGACAAAATGTTTTACTTAATCAGTAATTTATAAGTGTACATTTTTTGAAAATGAGGTCTGAATGTTGAATAAATAAGCTTTAGTTTTACCTATTGCCAAAAATGTATCTTGTGCAAGTTAAGACTGGTTTTGTGGTCCAGGGTCACAAATGGAAACATTAAAATGGCCTGATATAGTATTGCAGGAGTGTGTGTGTGTGTGTGTGTGGTGTGTTTAAGGGACAGTAAACTTACCCTGACTTGTCATCTTTCCATTATTCTCTATTTGTTGTGAAACAGAGGCCTGTGTGCAGACTGGAGTTTGACCACCACTGATGCTCCAGATTGATGTAATGTGTTGTGAAGTTCGAGGGATATTGGCACTCCACTCGGAAGCATCGGGGACTGGAATCTCAGTGGCATTGTTACAACAATCAGAAGTGGACAAGTGAAATGGAGGCTGGGTGACATCAATACTCCAGTCTGACACTTTGTGTACCGGAGTCTGGGTAGCGTCAGTACTCCAATCTGATGTGGTGCGTGTTGGAGTTTGAATCACTGTTGGATAGACTTCAGGGTCAATGGCTGAAGGTTCCTGAAGATTGAGGTCTACAGTTGGAATGACCTGCTGTAGAGAACCGTCACCTGAAGAGGAGGAAGGTTGTACTTCAGGTGGTGCTGCAGTTACCCCTGTGTCCAGAGCCTCTCCATCAACCTGAAATGTACTATTGTTTTCTGCAGCTCTCAAACAGGAGAACCACCGCCACAACTTGAACCTTCTTTTCTTTTTACGGTTGGCCTCCTTTCTCTTTTCATTTTTCCCCTCACTCGCCCTATCTTCTCCTACGCCAACAGGATGTTCATGAGCTTCCACCAAATTGGTGAACTGTGGCGGTGCATCGTGATGGTAAACGTGCACACGCTCAAAATCATTGTTTGCCTTTTTGCTACGACAATTACGTTGACCCATCGCTCAACTAGTTTAACCGCAGAATGCCAAAGTCAGAGTTGCATTTGCATTCTATTAGCTATGATGTCATCGCTTCGAACATTCACATTCTATTCTAAATGTGACGCATGCGGTGCCGTTTCTGTGCAGCGTCAACGGCCATTTGAAAGTGCCATATTGCTTTTGCATAAAGTATATGCCTTATAATCAATCAATAACTGATCACACATTACTACTCATAGCCTGTATGCAAGCGGCTGCCCGGTAAACTGGCTAAACTTGTAGAACATAGACCAGCGTTACGCCTTCATGAAATTAATTCTGCGTCAGTTTTACAACAAATAAAAAAATCGAAATTAATTAAAATAAACAGTTGTAACAATAAAAATCATTAAAAACATTTGTTTTTAACTATTTTACTTTCACTATTATACATTATATTACATATATTTATTTATAACAAAATTCAAATGGACCTAAATTAAACAAATGGTTTAAAACGTCTGAATCTCTTTAATATAGGATTGTAAAATGTTAGACACTTCTATTTACTTCTTTACTATTCCTTTTGCACAGTTTATCAATTAATTATCATTATTTATCCGCATCTGCAACATGGATATTCGCACCACAGAAAAATTGATTTTTTAAAAAATAAAAATAAGATTAAAAAAACCTATGGAGGACGAAACCTTCAAAAACTATCAATAAATAAGTAAACAAATAAATAAATACATAAATAAATAAATTCATAAATTCCTGCTTAAATAAAACAATAAATAAATAAATTGCATATTTATTTGCTTTATTTATGCAGGAATTTGTGGATTTATTTACTCATTTATTTTTATATTTGCTTATTTATTTATTTATTATTTTATTTATGTAGTAATTTATATTTTCTTATTTATTTATGCTTCGTTGTATTTATGCAGAATTTATTTACTTATTTATTTATATATTTTCGTTTTTATTTATTTTTATTTATGCAGACATTTATTTATTTATTTGTTTCTTTGCGTATTTATTTATTTTATTATTTTTTTATTTATGCCTGCATTTATGGATTTATTTACTCATTTATTTATTTGTGTATTTATTTAATAATTATTTTATTTATACAGGAATTTATAGATTTCATTGCTTAGTTATGTATATATGCGCATATTTAGTTATTCATTGTTTTATTTTGTTTTATTTTTGCAGAAATGTATAGATGTATTCTCCGATTTCTTTATATATTTGCGTATTTATTTATATTTTTTATTTATGCATGAATTTATGTATTTATTTACTCTAACTTTTATTTATTTTGCGTATTTATTCATTTATTTATTTATTGTTTTTTTGCCGGTTTCGTCCTTCGTATAAACTTAGCATTCTTTTGATTTTGGATGCATGCTTTTTTTTTCTATTGACATAATATTTTTGCTCCTTTTTTATTCATTCATTTTTATTGTACTGCGTGCGTGTGTATATATTTCACTGATAGTGTTGAGGTTGACATTTTGTATGGTTAAATTCTTTAATTAATGTATAAATGAATAAATAGTTTGACTCGTCCCTATTAAGTATGGCTGAAATTTTAATCCTCATGCTTAAAATATCATCAGTGACTTGCACTTCTATTTTTTGATAGACTACATGTTTATATTGCTAAATTGTGTATATCCATTCCCACAGTGACACATTTATATTCTAGCAATTGCGTATTTTATTATTCTCTAGACGAACTTCATAAAAAGAATTAAAAGTAGTTGTCTCCGCCCACTCAAATCACGTGACATGTTACCTTTCACAGCCCCGCACCTTTGTTTACTCACGTGTCTTCCATTGTCACTATGTTTGCTCTCTGTAAACGAATCCTGCGCTTTTACTGCTTATAAACGACTGGATTTCTAGATTAACACTCGACACTGATTTCCTCCTGTAATCCTGAGTTGAACTGTCTTATCCTGGACATCATGGAGCTGGTGAATGAGAGTCCGTCTTTTAAGGACTTGGTTTGCAAAGTCCTTGAGGTTCACAAGAGCAGAACTGATCCTCCTCGTTTACTAAAGAACGGCTCTCAGTTTAAGAAGAACCTGGAAGTTGTAAGTGTATCTTAAAACTAACTACACTGTACTTGCGTTTGCTTTGTGGTTCAAGTGTATTTTTTGTGTGTAAAAAATTGCTTTGCATTTGACTGACAAGAGTGACTTTGAGAACAGCTGAGCTAATTCATTTCATTGGCCAGACTGTAATTTGAGATTGGTTCAAGAGAAACCTGTTGGGTGGGATTTAAAACCTTGAATGAGGGGAATGCTTCTTTAAAACAAAGACAGTGGCATATATTAAGACATTTTGTAATATTTAAGATGTAGTTTTATTTCTATAAAAATGCTATTTATCATAAAAAATAATCTGAAACTTTTAGTTGACAGTGATGGTGGTTTGTATGAGTGTATATTTTATGTCACTATTTGATATTTGAACTTATTCTAGTATGCTAATATAAAGATAACATAACTATATTACTATAAATAACACCAATTCTTTGAGAAACAACAGTAAAAAGAAAAAAACACAGAATTACAACATTGTGAAAGTCTGAATAACCTAATGACCCCAAAACTATTGATTTTGATAAATACTTTGTGGGTTCAAATAAATTCTCAAACTTGATCTTGTACACATAGAAAACTTATTAAATGCAGCTACAGTATGTATTTCAGTGTTTCAATTAACTTTAAATGAAACAATATATCCTTTCTGTATATGGCTAGTTGACACATAGACAGTAACAAATGCTTTAAAAACACACATTTTGTGTAAAAAATGATTAATGTAGTTTAAAATCATGTATCAAGTTCTTATGTTTTTAGAAATATTAGGCAACAAATGATTGCCATTTACTAAAAAAAGTGTCTTGTAAAAAGAAGTTAGAGATATTTATTAATATTTTTGCCATTCTTTGTTAATATTAGCATTTTATAAAATTTTATAATGGCTGTAATATATTCAAGTATGCTTGAGGCAGTCAGTCACACTAAAGCAGTGTTTTGAGATTTGGCTTAAAAATGTAATAGCACAGCAGTTTTTATAAGAATAGGTCCACAGAAAACAGAAATATGTAATCATTTACTGCATTTTGATGACAACATGACAGTTAAAATGGAATGTACAGTATGCTTGCTATTGGACAATTATTTGAATAAGTAAACTCAGTGAACAGACTTCACTATATCCTTTTTTGATTTAAAAAAAAAAAAGAAACATTCCAGTGACTCCCGTGGCATTGATTTGAGTCTTTAGCGAATCATGTTCTGAGGACATACTGTGTGTAAGTGCTAGTTAGCATTTAAACAGGGCATCTAACCACAAACAGTTAATAAGAATAAAATTAGGGCTGCACAATATTAGAAAAATCTGATATTATATTTTAAGAAAAAATATAGTTTTGTTTTCACCTCAGAAGAAATCAATCAAAATTAAGCTTTTACTTAAAACAAGTTAAATTGTCTGCCTATAAGGTAAGTAAAATAATCTTGTTTTTACATTGAAATGTAGATATCTGGACCAGAATCAAGACAAAATTTCTAAGTAGGACATTGTTTTTTAGAATAAATCATCTGTATAATACATAATACAATTAATTTTTATAACACCTCCAAACATAATTTTCGGTTCCCAAAAATGTTAAACTCATGCAAATGATAAACTTTCAGTCTGTGATGGTTAAACTTAGCAATGACTCTACAAATCTGTAAATGTCTTCTTCAGCTTGCATGTGCTATTCCATCCTGATCCCATAAGGAAAGTAACTATTTTACGTTTTGTCAGTTTAGTGGCTAATTCGTATACGAATTTTAAAAAGTTGCCCCTAAACCCAACTGTTTTTGGGGGATAAGCAAATTATACCAAATTGTACGATTTCATGTGAATTAATCTCTAAATCAAAAATGTACAAATTGCTATGAGATTGTGTTTGTTCTTCAGATTAAACATTGCATTTCTTGCCATATTGCGGATGTGCACATTGCAATATCAATGTCTTTGTGCTGCCCTAAGTAAAATCATTGCTGTTCAAAATCAAAATATATATAACCAGTCAACTGTTTAAAATAAATTCCTCTCATCTGATCAAACTAATTGTCGTTCTCCCATGAATTATGCATATTCTCCAGCTAAGCACCAACTGTGGACCAGAAGATGTTTAGTAATTGATTCAAATGAAAAGTTTACAGAATTTAGTTGTCTTCAATAAATGCTCAAAATCAATTTTAGATGTTGCATATATCTGATGCAGATATTGATGCGCAAATGAAAAGATGAGCAAAGATGTTGATCCAAAAGCATGTCATGCATTTGTTTCTGCTGCACATCACTATTTGTCATGAAAATAATATAAATATTGTTAGTTCAAAATAGTTTTGATTGAAGTATATAATATGTCAGTACACAGTTTTTAAAAATTGTAATATTAGATACCTATACTCATATGTAATGTAGACTTTTGATGTTGAAAATTTAACTCTACAGTTTAACAAAGTGACTTTTTATAGACATTTTAGTATAGTGATAAATAAGTCTGTGAGCTCTATTTTATTGATCTAGCCACAGTGTCTAAAGCACATGGTCCAAAAGGGTGTGTCTGAATCCACTATTGCTATTTTAAGGACAGAAAAAGACGGTTTGCGCCACAGCATAAAAGAGTTTTGCTTATTCTCCTAATGAGTTATGTTTTGAGCATAACATGCAATTAACCAATCAGAGTCTCATCTGACTTTCCCTTTAAGAGTTGCACCATGGCAACAGTGAAACAGTGTTGTACGCACTCCACTGAAGACATCCATTAGCCTTCAAATTTAATTTTGTTTGTTAAGCGGAAAGATTTGTTTCAAAACTATTTTTAAATTCAGTCCTAATTTACAGCAAATGATTAAATGATCAATAATAACAAAATGTGGGCAAAAAAGTTATATCCAAACACACTTTCTGTTCTTATGCCCCATATGGTATGCATACATCTCCAAAACCTGACAGGTGGACAAATCTAAACTTGTCTTTATTAAAACAAATATACATTATTCACATGCATATAATAAATACTACTACTATTAATAATAACTTTATACAAATGCAAATTGTCATGAATAAACTGAAAAAAGCCCCCGAAATTAAGAAGGCATGTAGGTAGTGGTTTTTATATTTATGTAGAAAATGATCATTTTTGTAATACTTTAATCCTTTAATATTTTTCATATGTAAAGACATTTGTGTATTGCTGCACATCCTGTGTGTATTAAGCAATGTGCAAGTGTTTGGACCATATAGGCACATAACTAACGCGCTCTTCGCTGGACTTTAAACCAGCTTTTAGTTTGTCAGTGACGCAGTCTATTTCAGTTCCTCAAAATAGCAACATACCAAACAATGTGCCTTAACACACCTCCATTATAGATCAGCACATCCATGAGTCCAAAAAAGGGGTACAATTAAATTTGCTATTTAAACAATGTGGTACAGAACTTCCAAATCAGAGTTTTTTTTTTTTTTTTACGAGGGACAGCATGTTCGCCTTATCTTCATGTTTCAGTTGAGATTACAATGCCAAACATCAAATAAAAAATGGACATTTCAAAGCACTTCACGGAAAATTAACTTTCTTTAAAATTTGACTTGTGGTTAAATCTAGACTTTGCACAAATGAAAAAAAAAAAACACTTGCCTGCTTTATTATTTAAAATGACACTTTTATTTATTTAAATCAGTCAATCAATAAAAAAAATATGTTTTTTATTCATGATTTGTAGCTGGTCTTGTGAAATGTCCCCTTTCACATTGTTGTTTTACAAATCCTCTACATGTGGGTTAAGCGCTGTTTACACTTACAACAAAAAAATGACTTCACTGTGTTTCACCAACAACCCACATGAGTCAATTATTTAAAATACACAATGAGCAATGGACAATAATGCTTTCACTGTGGTCTTCTATGTTTGACTGTGGTTTCTTTGGAAGCACAATGTTGTCGGTAACCTTTATACTTCACAAATCTGATGCATTTGTTTTGGTAATATAATAGCTTTTAATTCTTAGTACACTTGGCATTTTGCTATGTAATGTGAAAAAACTGGTTTAATTGGAAAAACTAGACATGAATGAGTAATTGTTTTATGTAATTGTCATAGCTGATGTTTTAAGATAAGAATCAGCAGACGATGTGTATTGTTCAGTACACAGAGCTGCATTGTTTTTATGTTTAACCTCTTTCTGTCTCTGTTAGATTATATCTCAGAAGCCGCCACCGGACTCCATCCTCTGTTCGAATGCAGGACAGACTAGACATCAGGTATATATCAGGCATTTGCTTTCTGTCATTGCTTTCACCAACAAAGTAACTTGTGGTTGTTCATGAAAATCTGGTTGTTTCATGGGATCAGATGGTAAATCAGTTGATGGATAGATTGAAGTTATTGTCAGCACTTAAGGTGATACAACTTCAGTGTGTAAGGATATAGCTTTCTAACTAACTGTGAGATTTCTGACTTCATTTAAAATCGTTTTCTTTTCGTTTCCTTATAGTTAAGTTCCTAATATATTGAGATTTCCATGTGGCTTTATGAGTCAACATTTTCAGTGGTCAAAAACCATTGCATAAATGTGTTTTTTTTTCTCTTAAACAGTAATGTCTGTAGAGCAAAAAATGTTGAGGCAAAAATGTGTTCAAAATAATTGCATATACAGCACAGTGGGGGGAAATAATTGCATATAAAGCACAAAGGGGAAAATAAGTATTGAACTTGTCACTATTTTTCTTAGAAATCGTTTTGCTAAACGTGGCGTTGACTTGAACTTTCCTCAGGTATTTGTGATAAACAAAAAATCCATATATGCAAAGAAAACAAACCTGATTAGTTCACAAATTAAGTTGTGTGTAATAAAATAAAATGACACAGAGGAAAATGTACTGAACACATGAAAAAATGAAGGTGTAGAAAGTGAAAACCCAGACAGCAGCTGAAATATCTCAGTAGTTATTCAGCAACCTTCTGCCCTTTGTAAATTAATGTTCTCTGATTCAGTCCAACATCTACATTATCAGGATGATGAAGATCAAACCAGGGTGGTTCAGCAAGACAATGATCCAAAACACAGCTAGAGAAAGAAAATCAACAATAGCCCAGCCAATCACCTGACTTGAATCCAGTAGAAAACACAAATTAAGGATCAGATTAGATAGAAAAGATGCACAGAACCATTAAGATTTTTACACTCTGTTGATGTCTGTGAAAGAATCACACCTGACCAATGCTTCATTCTCCATCTGAGTGTCATCTTTTTGCTGCCATCACCAAATATGGCTAATAAATACAGGTTATTTCAACCCAACTTTGGGTCTAATAGGGACTAATCCAAGTGCTGGGCTTTTTTTTTTATTAAACCAATAGGACCAAATCTAACCCAATGTTTGTGTTAGTCCATATTTTACCCAACTGGGGTTTAAATAACCTAGCATTTCTTTGAATGTAGTTCAGTACTTTCTCCTTGTGTCATTTCATTGTTATTACATAACTATTTTTTTTTAGATTTTTTTCTTTTGTTTTATTTTTATGTTAATATTGATTGGGTTTTTAAGAAAAACATCTCCTTTAGAAATATTCTTCCCAGGAAAGAAATGTAATGTTAAATACTTTTCCCTGCTGTACTGTACATGTTTGAGTTCCATACACACTCTTATTACTATGTATTAAAATGCCTCAGTATGATTTTAGGTTCTGGTTATAGCAAACATTTGATTTGGAGCCGTTGTGTCTAAATTTAAGAAATCTGAGATTTACCCATTGTTTTTAGTGGTTGCAAAATCAAATGTGGGTCACTTTACATACAGTGCATTTAAATACTGTTGAAACTTGTAGCTTGTTTCCCTCTAAAGCATAGAACACACCTGTAAACATACTGACATTGTCAAGTTGCAGCATGTTGACTTGCATTTTCATAAGAAATTTGCTTAACATTTTAAGTGGTATTTGGAAGAAGGGTGGCTTTGGTACATTTTAACTGCTTCCGAACCTACCAATGATTTAAACATGCAGCATTTTCACTACATGTTAGAACACAGGGATCTCAGGGTACAACAAAGGTAAAGATACTAAAAGGAAGGTTTCTTAGGTGCAACAGTCTGACATGCATTGCAAATAAAATGCTTACTTGGAGTTTTTGTCTTGTTTTTAGTCCAAATATCTAGAATTTTTTTAATGAAAAACATTTTCTAAACAAGCAAAAATATTTAATAAACAATATTATTTTGCTTATCCAATTAGCAAATTATGTTGCTTGTTTTAAGGAGAAACTCACTTAATTTTGACTAAATATTTCTGAAAATAAGATACAATGTATTATAGATACAATATACAATATAAATATGAATGCAATATACTTTGCTTGTATAGAAAATGCCTCTTGATTTAATAATTTTTAGAGTTGAAACATGACAAAAGCATTTTTGTGTGCATTATTGTCCTTAATTTTTTCTGAGTGTGCAAATATTTTGAAGACATGTGGGGGGGTTGATTCTTTATGTTGGGTCTAAAATGTTGCAGTCATTTAGCAACATCTTACATAGTTTAAACAATTTACATTACACAAAACAAAACTCAAATAAAACACACAACTTGTTAAAAGTAACTTTAACATATGTAATAATGGAATAACTTGTTAATGTATTCCAAGCCATAGTAGCATTATACAGTGCATCCAGAAAGTATTAATAGCGCTTCAAATTTTCCCACTTTTTATATTATAGCCTTATTCCAAAATGCATTAAATTAATTTATTTCCTCAAAATTCAACACACAATATCCCATAATGACATTGTAAAAAAAGAAAATCACAAGTACATAAGTATTCACAGCCTTTGTTTAAAACTTTGTTGATGCACCTTTGGCAGCAATTCCAGCCTTAAATTGTTGCAAATTCATTAAAAATAAAAAACCAGAAAAATCACATGTACATAAGTATATACAGCCTTTGACGTAAAACTTTTAATTAAGCTCAGGTACATTCTGTACACCACTGATCAATCTTGAGATGTTTCAGCAGAGTTCAACTGTGGTAAATGAAGTTAGTTTCACATGATTTGAAAAGGCATACTCCTGTCTATATAAGGTCCCAGGCTTGACAGTGCATGTCAAAGCACAAACGAAGCATGAAGACAAAAGAATTGTCTGTAGAACTCCGAGATAGGATTGTCTTGAGGCACAGCGGCCTCCATCATCCGTAAGTGGAAGATGTTTGGAACCATCCGGATTCTTAGTCGGGGAAGTGATCAATAACTCGATGGTCACTCTGTCTGTGCTCCAGTATTCTTCTGTGGAGAGAAGCAAAGCTTACAGCAAGAAAACCAACTGTGCAGCAATTAACCAATTAGCCCTGTATGGTAGTGAGGCCAGACGGAAGCCACTCCTTAGTAAAGGGCACATAGCAGCCTACCTGGAATTTGCCAACAGGCATCTGAAACAAAATCCTTACGTTTGGAGAAAACCAGGCACCGCTCATCATCAGGCTAATACCATCCCTACAGTGAAGCATGCTGGTGGCAGCATCATGCTGTGGGGATGTTTTTCAGCAGCAGGAACTGGAAGACTAGTCAGGATAGAGTGAAAGATGAATGCAGCAATGTACAGAGACGCCCTGAATGAAAACCTGCTTCAGAATGCCCTTGACCTCAGACTGGGGTGATGGTTCATCTTCCAGCAGGACAATGACCCAAAGCACACTCTCAAAATATTAATGTGGCTTCACAGCAAAATGGCTGATCACTGTTGCTTATTGTCTAACCTGATAGGGCTTGAGAGGTACTGCAAAGAGGAATAGGCAAAAGTTCCCAAAGACAGGTGTCCCAAATCTGTGGCATCATATTTAAAAAGACTTGAGGCTGGAATTGCTGCCAAAGGTGCATTAACAAAGTATTGAGCAAAGGCTGTGAATACTTATGTACTTGTGATTTTCTTTTTTTGCATTGTCATTGTGGGGTATTGTGTGTAGAATTTTGAGGAAATATACGAATTCAGGACAACTTTAACATTTTTTAAACACAATTTTTAGTATCCATTTGAATTAGGAACACACAAAGACAAATACAATTGAGGTATTCTCCAAAAGTAGATTTTGGAGACCAATTAAAACTTCTTTGGGTAAAACAATGGTAAGTCTATCTTTGCTAAACGAAGCTTGCACATTTGAGAAAGATACAATTTTGGCACAATATGTCACATGAAGGAAACAAGATTTATTTAGAATATCGTCATTGTTTATTCTTAAGACATTCCTCTTTAAATAGAAAAAAAGGTTTCAGCTATATGCAGAGTGACTCACTGTTTTTATCCACTGAAAATGTGTACACACTGTTTAACAGTTTACTCACAAAGCCATTTTAATATCCCAATGTATGTGTAAATAAAGCATATGGGGCTTTAAAGTGTTTCTAAACAGAATTTAGTTACCAACAAATAAATGAAAAGATAATAAAAAAAGTTTAAGAATTTTTGAGTTTACAAGGTATACAAACCTAAGGGGAAAAATTTTTCTGTTTTTTTTTAATCGTCACCATTAGTAATGACAAGGGAACAAAGATTACTGGAGACAACATCATTTACTTATAGATATAACAATCTCTCAGTTAAAATAATCAATGATGCCACCATGCAATTTTGGTCATAGTGTAGATGACTTCTGCAAATAGGGTTAGCAGTAAACATGTAATACATTTAATATTATAACTTTCCTCACTATTTACTGTTTGCTTGTCTTCGTTTACAAAAACATATCAATAAAATACATTTTATGACACTTAAGAATGTTCTCTATGTTTTGTAAAGGCTTGTGTGAATAACGTACCATGTGCTGGCCAAGCATTGAGGAACGCTGTCTTATCCAATTGCCAGGATAACTGGAAAACACATGTTAAACTTGCCAAAATTATCAGGTAGGTTTCATTACAGTGATGTGTATTGTATATCTAAAATATAACCTTAAAGGGGTGATGGCTATTTTTTTTTTTTTTACAAATGTAAGAGGGTAGCATTAAAACATGATACAAGTTTTAGCTCAAATGGTCATCACATTAATAACAAATATTTATTAAAGGCGCACATGTATTAATTTATTTTTAACATGGCCACTTTAAAGAGAAGAGTTCACCTTAAAATGCAGTCATCATTTGCACATCGTTAAGTTGTTATTTCTGCCGCGCGCACACACACACACACACACACACACACACACAAACACACACACACACACACACACACACACACACACACACACACACACACACACACACACGTTTTTCTTTGCAGTTGAAGGAAATATTATTAGCCCTTTGAAATTTTTGAAAGTGCTGTTTAATGGAGAAAACCTATCTAGCATATATTTTAGACAGTAGATGGCCTTCCAGCTGTAACCCAGTACTGGGAAACACCCATACACTCTCATATTCACACACATACACTACGGTCAATTTAGTTTATTCAATTCACCTATACCGCATGTCTTTGGACTGTGTGGGAAGCTGGAGCACCTGGAAGAAACCCACGCCAACACGAGGAAAACATGCAAACTCCACACAGAAATGCCAACTGATCCAGCTGGGAATGAAACCAGCACCTTGCTTGCTGTGAGGTGACAATGCTAACCACTAAGCCACTGTGTCACCCCATATTTACTATATTATGTATGATATATTCCACATAAGAACATAATGGTGAAGAAACAAGACTGAACATAATGCTGAATAAAAAAACAGCAGTGGAGCAAAATGAACTGCAACCAGAATAAGAACTAGAACTTGAAGCCAATTGGATGAAACTACCTCCTATTTACTACAGATGTATATTTGAAATTGTGAAATTATTTTCGAAAATGTAGTGGGCTGTGGAAAACTTCTGAGAAGCTTCAATATCATTTGATGCAAATGCTGGATATGAGAGCACTAATTACCTTCAATGAATGTTCCAGTGCGCATGTTTCCAGACTGAGGAGGAAACATGCCATTTATCAAATAAATCTGTCATTTATGGGGCTTCTCATTCTTTCCCTTTGACATAACACATTGTCTCAGTATCATGTTCTGTTGCCTACTTTAGTGTGCAAATGTAAGCAGCTTATTTTGCAATATTAGCTTGAATGAACAGACAAAAATGCACACATACACCAGCCCAATGAACCCTTCTATTAAAGAAATTAGGAAAGTGATTAATAGAGGACAAAAGAAACTGACCTGTAAACATTAGTGTTTTGTTCTTCTTGTTGACCAAAAGTGCATCTTATTGGTGCACAGGTGTACACAAGACTTTTCATTTTGACACCATACGACAACTTCATTCAGTCAATTGTCCAAAAAAAAAAAAAAATGATGGAACTGTGCTTCAGCCTAAGTTTTTGTGAAACTACAAAAACTTACTTAAACATATGTTTGAATGCAGTTTCTAAGAAAATGACAGTATGGTGCAGTATAACACAGATAAATTTTGATCCTTTTTACACTAATGTTAATTACAGTGACATATTATTGATGAATAAAGGATTATTTATGAGTAGTTCATTGCACTATACCAAGTAAATGCTATAAAACAACTTAACAGTGTTCATGATTTGTAATCAAATTTATGATAAACTTATTTATCCCCATATGGAAAACTTTTCTAGTATGGCCTGTTTTAGTTTCACTATGGTAACTACACTGCATAACATGTATACATCTATACAAAAGAGCTTGCATTTCAAAAACTTTTTGTATTTTCATCTGCAAAATAGTGATGCAACATCACTCTACAATATTGTCCAACAACACTGCTCAAAAAGTTGCCCTGTGTGTCATCACTTGGACACAAAACTTAACTTTAAGGCTGTTAGAACAACAGCTGCCATACTTGTTCATATACTCTAAAACAGAATTCTTTAGGCCTAAATATTCATAACTAATAAATATCTTAAATGTAACGCTTCATTTCGTCAAAAACCTATGAGAGAGGTCTGGATGCAGACCTGGTGCTGGTGCTGTGCTAACCTAACCTAACCACACCGCTAACCCCACCCATCACAGTGACGTCACTCACTCCATTGAGTGCATTGTGTCTGAAATTGGATCTCTGACTGATGCAATCCCAGCTTGCATCATAAAGGCTGCATCCAGATACTATTGGAACCTATTTCATTTATTTTCTTTTGATAAAATATACAAATGTATTTGACCTACAAATATTTTTTTTTGCGTAATGCTAAAACTACTTTCCTTAAACAGCATACTCTTGCAGCTCGATTTTGATTTTACTGTTTGTTTTTTGTTTTGTATAATTGTTTTCAGAGAATTGTGCACATTTTATTTAATGGATGAAGTCATTAATGCTGTTCATATATTTTCGAATCATCTTTTTTTCACATGATAAATTTCTGATCCTTTGCATTATATTTTATTCATCACCCATTATTAATATTTTTGATGTTCTAAAATATTTAACTAACTCTCTAACAAATTTAAATTAAGACTACAGTGTATATACATGTTGAAACTATAAGCCAATATATATTCTGTATTAGGAAATATAAACTCAAATCACAGGAAATACATCTTAATGCATAACTTATTAATATAGTATTTAATTGCTTCAGTACTAACTGTACAAATGTTGACAAAACAGCACATGATTGTTAAAGTTTTTTTCTTTCCCGCGGTATTCGATTGAAAGATCAGAGACATAGGCACAGTAAACACCATGGTCAGAAGTGGACAAAGATTTAACCCCATTTAAATGGTTACCTCTTAAAATGTATTTTCCTGTGATCCGGTGGACCAAAACGCGTCTTATTACCCAGTATAAACAGAACATCAGTCATGAACATGTTTACATCGCCGAATCATTTTGATCCCCCACGTTCGCCATTCTTGACATTACCATGCTAAGCGTAATAAACAAGCGTACCTGTTGTGCGTGGTCAGAGATTGAAAAAGCTGTGCAGTGTAGCACACAGGCGCACACGATGACAAGAAATATATTGACTGAAACAAAAAGGAATTCAAATTGCGCAATGACAAGAACTACTATAGATCACCCCACAAAACGTATGAAAACGAAAGTAACAAGCCCGGTTTAAAAATGTAAGGACAAGACAGTACAGATATTTGTGTAAAAATGTAAGTAGTAAAAGTAAAAAGTTGTCCGAAAAATAAATAGTGGAAACAAGTACTGATAACAGACACTGTATATCTACTTAAGTACAATAACGAAGTATTTGTACTTCGTTACTTCCCATCTTTGTAGCAATGTAAAACCAAGAAATGTAAAACCAAGGTCGCAGTGCACTTCCATTTGATTTCAAAAGCAAATGTAAAATATTTTTTTTTTCAAAAATGTAGACAGTGCTCTAGTGGATTTGTCATCTGAAATGTGGAACGAAATGTACCTAGAGCAACGTAGTTTATGTTTTACAAAAGAAGAAGACTGAGGCTCGTATTTCTAATAAGCCTGATTTTAAATAAAGAGGTTTTCAAGAGTTCACACTTAGCTGATGATTGATTATAAAGCTTGTTTGGCATTTTGATCCTCGAGCCCGGGGCTCTCTCCCATTTGCAAGGCAAGAGGGGAGTTTGAGCTCTGGTAGATCTTGAGAACTCCCCTGCTGTAGTAGCTATTGAACAGATAGTGATTGCTCTTAAGAGATAACTACTTACTAGGAGCATGTCTATACTTCTGATTTAAATTAGTCAAATAACTTAAGTTAATACCCGGGGGAAACCCATGTGAGCACAGGGAGAATGTGTAAACTCTGCACAGAAACGTTGACTGGGTTGTTAAGGACTAGAACCAGTGACGTTCTTGCTGTGAGGCAACAGTGCTAACCACTAGGCCACCATGCCACCCTTCTAGGAAAGGAGGAGGAGTAGGAGTGGAAGGGGAATTCTTCAAAAGGAAAGATGGCTATTATATGGAACTTAGGGTATTTATAGTGGCGTAGGAATTGTCTGATTGGTGAATCATAATTTATATAATGCGGGGCCAACTGCTAGCTAACATAAGCACGTGATCCTCTCAAATTAGTTCATAAATAAACTACACTTATCATCATTTGAAAAACATTGGTGGAATAAAGTGAAATTTATATTTTTAAGTTGAGAACTTTTATTTAGTTAAATAAATAATAATTATACATTACATTTGTAATGTATCAAATCACATACGTCACATTAGCAATCATTTAACACCACATTTTGCATTCACATTTAAAATGAATTGGAAAAAAAACTGTTTTATAAATAGTAATATTTCATATTAGTTTTATTTTAGTTAATACAGTCTATAACATCTTTAACACTTTCCTGTGTTTGCTTTATATTATCAGGAGGACGTATATTGGTATAGAGCTGGTGGAATGGCTGATGGACCATTGCGAATTCATCCAAAACAGGGAAATAGCTTCCAAAATCTGGAATGTTCTCCTAGATTTGGGCATTCTGCTTTCAGGTACACAACCAATGCTGGGGAAGAACAAAGCAGACACACAAGTTTGGATGATTTATATAAAATGTTTGATTAATATTTTTATTATTATTATGTTATAAGGTACTATATACATTTGCAGTTTGCATAACAGCCGATTTCATCCAATGTGGTGCCTAAACAGAACATACATTTACATAAGCTTTGTCTAGATATAGCTTTATGTTGGATGTTTAACCCCAATGTGCTTCTGTTGTGTCCAGTGGAGCAGAACAATATATTTGAGGACTCCAGGTCTTTATACCAGTTCACCTTTAAGGAATGTGAGGCCCAGAGCTGTGATTTCAGAAATCAGGTCAACTGGCGGAGTGCAGTGCATCTGCTCCTTCAGCTGGTCCCACACGAGCAGCTCTGTGGTGGAACCCAGAGGCGGTGAGCACATGGTTACACATAAAGCTTAATAATGGTGTTTTTTTCAAGGTCCAAGGTCTTTAAACATCTTGTCCTACAAGGGTGTAAAACTTAATAGCTTTTTATTTACCATCCATTGCTAACAGAACGTGCCCATACGCATCAACAGTCTTTACTGATTACCTAAGTAGAGCTAAACGTATTTAAAATGGGTATTAATTACCCTGTAAGTAGAGCGACAGGTAGAGTAAGTTGTTAGCATTTACTACTTGAAGTTTTTTCTGGCTTGCATCCCAAAGGAGGCTAAAGATTTACTTTCATTCTATAATCAGCGTTGATCCAGTTAACCCAGAATGTTTTGTTTGTATTTTTTTCATTTTATATATATATATATATATATATATTGTTTTACATTTTACTTAGTTTCCTGTGTCCCCATAATTGGAGTTTTAAGATTAAATTTTATCTCAAATTACAACATTGTTTAATTATATAGTGTTGGGCAACGATGTTTCTGTGACTAATCATGATTAATCACATTTTTTTCTTATAATCAAAATTTAACAATAAATTCAGAAGTTATTTTAAAAGTTCTGGGATTTGAAAAAGTGCAATAACACTTTAAACAACCAAGGTGTGTTTTATAGCAATATTTAGTGATAATTAAGCGATCATTACATCAGTGGTTGGTTCTCAGTTCTTCTCCTTACACCACAGTACTCTAAGATAACCAGCTTGATATATGAGAGCTTTTTGCATGAACTGTGTTCACTACTTCCTACTAACCTGTGCACACGAAATAAATAAATAAATAAAAAAAATTAAAATAAATAAATAAATAAAAATAGTGCAACGCCAGCATATGTATTATTATATTCATCAAAAGCCAAATTAAGCATTTGGGTGAGTAGGTTACATACAAAATCAATGCAAATGCACGAATATTGGCAAATTTTCAACAGGTGGCAGGAACAAAGCACAATGCATAGTGCGTTTGCTATGAACATGCAGAATGAAAAACATTCCGCTATAAGTACCACTAGAATGAGGGACAAGGTTCTTCGCATTTGGTTTGAGCTAAAACCATCAAGTTTCCCAATCTTGATGTGTAAACAGTAAATTTAGGTTTTTAAAGTGAACTATTTCTTTAAGCCTTCTGTTGTCTGTGTGGCCTTCAGGTCAAAATGGACCTGTCTTCACTAAACTTCTAAAATAAAGCAGAAACATTTAATTTTAATCTTCAAATCTATTTTTTTTTTATAAAGAAACAACCATCTTCATTCTTAAACTGTTTTTTCCCTCATCAGTTTGAAGTTTTCCATCAATGTTTAATGACTGGACAACAATTGTTTTTAAATAAAAGTGCTGTTTGTAAGTTTTTTACTTTTCTAAAGCATATAAATACCATAATATGTTTGCAGATATTTAAGAAACATGCCAAGTGAACATACTTGTTTATCTGAAAAACGATGCTGAAGTCAGATATTCTTCCTTGAAAATGTGTTTTTTGTGCTGGAACACTGTCTTTGTTTTGGTTAGATTTCCACATGAGGTTATTAATTAGCAATTTATATAATAATTTTAATGTTAACATTAGGTGAGCAGTCCGAACAACACACTTTCTGACGAGATACGCAGTGATAAGCAATTTGGCTGTTTGCACAAGACGAAACATGACAGAAATTTAAATACAGCCATTCAGAAGCACAGAATATGTGTCCACTCACTAAATGGTAATGTTTTTAATCTTTTTAATACATATTAATCCTCTTTAACATTATTGAATGTACATACTAAAACACTCATATGTGTTTGGTTCTAAAGTTCAATTCCAAATGGTTTAATTTATTTTCAAGATCTGAGGTGAACTATCTGCTGCTGCTTTCAGTTTATGCCAATAAATATAATGTAAAATGGCACTTAAACTCACATTTTTAGCATTTAACACTGATTAATGCATGTAAGGGGTACCTGAGGTGATCATTGTCAGTTTTCTGTTGTTCAGCTGCGAAAAATAGAAGTCGTTTATTATATATCAATTTGAGGTGTTGGTTAGGACAAAAACTCCTCTTAATATAAAAAAGTATTCCTTCTGCCGTTGCTTTTATATAGAAAATTGTTAAAATCACTCGCTCCTGTCATCAAGCTGGCAACTTGCACTTGCCTTTGTTTTGATCCAGGAGTGCAATACCTAGTTCAACCACTGGGTGTCAAACTAACATACTTCATCTCTAAAGTAAATAATATATTTTGCGATGCTAAAAGTACCTGCATAAAGTTTTTACAGTATTTATTAAAGTTAAAGCAAATGATTCTTATTGCCTGCATGTGTGTGTCATTTTTCTGGTATGATATTAGTTTTATAGCTGGTGGGTCAAAATTTACAACCGATGTACCATAAATTTGTCAAGTCAAGCCTTCATGACAATAGAAAACAGTTACATTTTTTCTAGTGTTTTCTAGTGTTAGGATCATTTTAGAAACAGTCACCAGATTTCAAGATAAAAAAAAAAAAACATTGTTTATGGTTTTATTTCAGCTGTTAAAATGGTGCCCGGGTCATTTTTTACCCATAAGTCAACAGTGGTTAAACATGCCAAAAGGCAAAATGTAGCTTACCATTATCTATGTTTTACAAAAATCTGTAACAGGGGTTGTAAATGGTTGTGCACTAATAGTTGAAAAAGGCTTTTGACCACAGTACAATATCAACTTCAACTAAATATCTACTAAATATCCTTTAAGACCAATCAATTCGTATGATTCCATGTGCATGTGTATTTCCAGGCTTCTCCAGCAGATGTCTCTGCGACAGTGCAAGCTGAATACAGGACAGACAGATGGTTTTGCTGCAGGCTCTGTCTCACTTTCAGATTTTCAGTCAAACACGACCTGTTCAGAGCTCTTCTTTTGACCTTGCACTGTCTGTCAGAGCACATCTCATCACTTCACAGACGTGTCAGAAGAAGGCACGGTCTATCCGTCTCTTCTCACTGCCTCTGTGCTTTGTGTTTGGGCTTTTATGATTGATTGTCATTTTCAAATATCTAAGTTTTGAAACGTCATTGACAGCACCACAAGGAGGTTGAAAAGTTTACGGTATCATTTTGAGCATGTGCCTAGTATTAAAACTCATTAAGCACCAAATGCAAGTATTATTGGTGTTTTCAAAACTGTAATAAAAGATAAGATAAAAACACATCAACAAATGTTTAATGTTACTTAAAAGTCTGAAATTAAAATTTACCATTTTTATTTTGTTTTAATTGTGCATATTGTTATTCTTTAGGTGAACTGTTAATCGGTGCAAGTTAATCCAATAAAAAAAAAAAAAATAATAATAATTCTTTAATCAAAATCTGACAATTTGCTTCTGCATTTGGAGTGTCTGTCTTCTTGTGGACCTCAGCCACAAAATTCCAAACTACAACCCTCTTACTCTTAACTTGCTTCAAGGGAATGATGCGCGAAATAATGCCCTGCCTCGTACTCAATATTCGATTTTAGTTGGAAGTACATCAACACACTGATATAAAATTCTGAGCAACTTCCGGTTAACACTAACTTATTTTTAATCAGGTGAAATAACTTTATATGAATATTTTAGTCAGTTCATAATGACATTTCATTTGATTCAACAAAAAAAAAAAATTGGCAGCAATATCTTTTACAGTTTACAGCATGTGAAATCATCTTACTGTAATCAGCTGTTGGCCAGATGTTTATAAGTTTTATACTCGAGGACACAATAGGGTTAAGTGGGATTATCTATTGAGGTGTTAATCTGTAATAAGTTGTGCAACACTGATCTTTTAACTTGAGCTGCTTTGCTTTTAGTAAGTGATCTGCATGAACTCAATCTCTCAAATGATTTGAGTTCGAGTTGCTCATAACATGGATTTGTAAAATAAAAGTTTTTAGATGTAATGTTGTGTATTGGTTGAATTATTTTAGATCTATCACTTATTTAAAAATACTACTACTACAACTACTAATAATTATATCATTACATTTTCCATTAGATTTTTTTGTCATTTTTGTTTCACCTTTTTAATTATGAAACAGTGTGTGCATTGTTTAATGGCTGGTTAAAAATACATATATTTTAAATTGAGATTATTTTCAACCTTTCTAGCTTTTCATTATAAATAAAGCATAATGTTTTATTAAAATACACAACCTTACAAATTCACAAAATGTAAGTCGGTGACACTTTATTTTTATAGTTTGTTTGTTGAGTTTATGTTACATTACAACTGATTCTCATTAGATTATAAGTAGACTATTAGGTTGGGGTTAGGGTTATTGTAAGTTGAAATGTACCTGCAAAGTTTCTTATGTCTGTTGAAGGAGCATATCATCAGATATTAAGCAGACAATCAACAAATACTCGAGTAAACCATCAAAATATATTGTAAATAAATCTTTTTACAAATCAAAATTGTTTTACAAAAATACATTTTATTTTAATTAATATAAGAAAAGTACTGTAAAATTCTCTAATTTATAATTTTAAAAGTATGCATGCAGAAATAAATGTTTATATTTAAAATTATATATAAAAAAACAAATCAAAGATAAGCTGCCAGTAAAAAAGCATATACATTGAAATTATTATGACAAGAATTAACAATGCTGTCCTGACCGGACCTCACTTAACCAGATCAATGACATGTTGTACTTTGGTAAACAATACGTAAGCAAGAGGTCAGTGGACATAAATGAAGGCCGAGTTATAGGTTGTGTTTCTCCGCATCATATCCTGTCTGCTGGGAAAGTTGGTCAGTTGTATGCAAATGGTTTTATCTGGGCAGGATGTTCATCTTTAGTGAGATTGCAGCTGTTTTTAGTTCCCTCTGCACTTCTCTATGGCCTGATTGAGCTTTTGAGACTCAAATCTAGTATCTATATAGTAAGTATCTATATATTACGATTTTCGTGAGTTTTGTAATTATTATAGACCTTACAATCAGTGTCGTGCAGAATATTTTATTATATTAAGTTAATGTTTATGAATTTTGGACGGTTTTATTTTAGGGGTTCTCTTTATGATGTTTTTTCCTCTGTGCATGTTATTTACATCAATAAACTTCAATACATCAATAAGTTTTGTACACATATATTTTTGATATATATTGACGTATAAAATGGCATTTTTTAATTTCTTTAAGAAAAGAGTTATCCCCTTAATATTACATTATTATTACTGTAATATTACCTTTTATTCTCAGTACAGTTTTGATATTTCTAAATGAATGTCTCCTAAAAATATTAAAATACATTTAAAAACTATTTTATCATAGAATTATATTATTTGTGTTATTGTCAATGTGGAAATGTAAATGTAGTAAACAAAACAACATTATTTTTTGCTTTGTAGCTGTAAAGAAGATAAACAGAAAACACCTGATGCTTGTAATCCAGTTCTTCAAATGAGGGCATTGGAGCATTTCACCTCAACAGTAAGTCAATTACATTGCATTTTTTGCATCTTCTATCATTTCCCTCAATTTTAAATGGATTCACACAAAACAATAATCATGTCAGTAACTAAGCCTCCACTTGCTCCAAACACTAAAGAAGATATTTTGAAGAATGTTGCCAACCAGTAATCATTGACGTCCGTAGTATTTGTTTTCCTGCTATAAATGTCAGTGGCTACAAGTAATCAACACAAAATAAATAATATTTGTATTTTAGTTTATTTTAGAATGCTTTAACACCTGTAGATCGATTGTTTTGTTCCGAAACAGGGATTAAAATTCTAACAATGTTGGACTTTGTTCTTGTTGCGGGTCACTTTTAAAGTTTCTAAACGGACCAAAATGGCTACAATAAGTTGCATGCCAGTAAACTCTTCCCACATTGCACAGATTGAGTTCCATGGTTTATTTGTTTTATACATCCTGCCATAGTCATATTCTCTCTTCATATAGCTGTATATATGCCTTACATATCCATAATACACTGATATAGCCTGGTTTGTTGGATCATATTGCATTCTCACTACAATCTACCTGCTCCAGAGTTCGTTTCAATTGAACTAAGATCACCTCATTCAGGCAATCTCGGACTGATTGTTTTGGCACATATCTGACCACTATTGCTGAATTCACATATCCCAAATGACCCGCACTAACTGGGGAAATGCGCCACGTTTCGAAACAGAAGTCTAGATGTGAAAGCACCCTTAGATTAAATCTGAGAGCTCCCTGATCCTTTATAGACAGCAATTGTCCACAATAATTTTTTTCATAATCTGCAGCTGATGTCAGAACAGCAGAAGCCATTGCTACTTCACAAATGTCACCTTAGAGCTAGTATTTGAATGATTCTATAGCGTAATATTTAAAGTGGTGACAAAACAGGTGATTTTGCTGATATTATAAGATTATAAAGCTGACTGGCATAATTGTACCTTTGTATCTTTTGATGTACAGCACTCTCATCACAAACCGATGAACCAGAGCCAATGAAGACTCGCTAAGCAAAATTTGGGGTTCAAAGCTTTTGACATGCAAAATAAATTACACCATGATTAAATTGATCATTTATAGTTGACAACCTTCACTAAAAAGTCGAATGCGTGATGCACACATCAAAGTCTGCATCATCATTAACATCAAACAAGCCTTCAAAAATAGCTAAATGACCACGTCTTTGACCACAAGATAGCAAAGGTTTAGTAGAGAACGTTTTCACCACCTGCTCTGTGTTTCTGAGCCGCCAACAGCTCTGGCGTAATGACTGAATCAGTGCATTTCTGTGGCCATGCAGCATGTGCTTGGCCTCCAGCTATTAAGGTAATGTAGCAGAACCTCTCTTGAAGGTGGCCTGTGCACCTGCAGTCACCTTGGCATCAGATATAAGGCCACTGTGATTTGAAGAGGGTCAGCATATGCATCAGCCTCCCTGGAGAATTGATGATGCTCAGCTTTACATTGTTTGCGTTCAGATGCTCAGTTTGATGCCGTAATCAATGAACTATGTCGTTTCGAAAAGGTTTAGAGCAAGAACTTACAATAATTCTAATATGATAGACATTTGAAGGTAGCTTCTAGCTGTGTTTAAGCTACACAAGAAAGAGTTTAGAGCAAGAACTTAAAAGACATTTGCAGGAATTCAAAAAATGCACAAAATTTTTGAGTGTAGTTACATATAAAGTTAAAGATGATCACTTTGTATGTATTATACATATACATTTGTCAGCTATGGTTAATTTATTTAGCAAATACAAAAGTCCAGTTATAAGGGATTGTAATGTCTTCAATTAACTTTTTTAGTTTACTGAAATTATGACAGGGTGCCAGTTTAATTTGCACCTCTAATTTAATATTTGTATGTATATACAGTTTTATGCAAATTTTTTGACACCCCTGATAATTATCATAATTGCAAATAATTGTCTGCTGGCCTTTCAAAGCAGCAATTTTTAATTTGATATATTTTATACCCTAGAAAAAAGAAAAACATTTCAGTTCTGACACAACATTTATTTAATCAACAGATGCAACGCAATTTAAATTATTACAAAAACAGATAGGTGCCAATATTTGGGCACCCCACTAGACGGATGATCTGATGAATGATGACGTACAAATTTGGATCTTCCTTCACCAGAACTCTACCCATGACCTTCCATTTTTTTTACTATATTTCTGACTGTGGATATAAAGACTTTAAACCTTTGTGAAAGCTTTTTATATCCTTATCCTAATTGTTGATGTTGATGAATTGTCCTAGTTTTTATGTCATTAGGAAGTTTTTTTAAGATTCCCATGTTGCTACCTTCAGGTTCACAATAAGGAGAAGCACAACTAGCAATCAGCTATCTTAAATATCCTTTTTCACGATTGGTCGCACCTTTATAATGATTGTTAAGGTTCACTGAGTCACTCAGATCCATGTTGTGTTGTAATCAATCACCATTAAGTGACTTCAAGTTTTAAAAACTCAAACAAAAGAAGGTGCCCATACTTTTGCAAAGCCTATTCTTAAGTTTCAATTTTATTTCACACATCTCAATACTGCTACACTAAACATTTCTGTCTGAAAAACATGACATTATCTATCTTTCTTTAGAAACCAAATGATTGCAGCGATCTTCTCTTATAAAAACAGAACACATTACTGTGCAACCACAAAAGGGTGGACAAATTTTTGCATGCAGCTACAATTAACACAGGCTCACCAAAATTGGACAATAGAAGATTGGAAAAACGTTGCCTGGTCTGATGAGTCTCGATTTTTGCTACGACATTCGGATGGTAGGGTCAGAATTTGGCATCAGCAATATATAAGCATGGATCCATCCTGCCTTGTATCAATGGGTCAGACTGGTGGTGTGGGTGTAACGGTGTGTGGGATATTTTCTTGGCACACCTTGAAGGTGGTGTGGAGAGACCCCTCCTCATGATTGTGAAGCGCTTTGGATGTATGGCCATACACAACAAATGCGCTATATAAATATACATTACTTACTTACTTATTTACACTTTGGGGCCATTAGTACCAATTGAGCATTGTGTCAACACCACAGCCTACCTGAGTATTGTTGTTGACCATGTCCATCCCTTTATGACCACAATGTACCCATCTTCTGATGGATATTTCCAGCAGGATATTGTGCCATGTCATAAAGCGCGAATCATCTCAAACTGGTTTCTTGAACATGACAATGAGTTCACTGTACTCAAATGGCCTCCACAGTCACCAGATCATAATCTGATAGAGCACCTGTGGGATGTGGTGAAACGGATGATTGGCATCATGGATGTGCAGCCGACAAATCTGCAGCAACTGTGTGATGCTATCATGTCAATATGGACCAAAATCTTAGAGGAATATTTCCATTTCCTTGTTAAATTTATGCCACGAAAGATTAAGGCAGTTCTGAAGACAAAAGGGGCTCCAACCCGGTACTAATAAGGTGTACCTAATAAGTGGTGGGCGAGTGTATAACATAATGCCTAAAAATTTGCATTTTTTCCTGCATTTTTTTTGTCAAAACAATAATAAAAAATAAAACCAATAATGCATTGTGCAAAATGCTATTTATTTTTAGTCAAAATTAGTATACAATTTTTAAAACTGTGGGACTGTAGGAGTAACCGGAGCACCCGGAGGAAATCCACGTGAACACGGGAAAAACATGCAAACTCCACATACAAAAATTGTGACTCAGTGACCTTCTTGCTGTGAGGCGACAGTGCTAACCACTAAGCCACCATTCCACACTTAATAATAATAATAATAGTTATTATTATTATTATTATTATTATTATTATTATTATTATTATTATTATTATTATTATTATTATTACTACTACTAATAATAATAAAACATTTAAAATAAACATTGTCACCTTAGAATTATAAGGTTCTATCTGACATTTCTGTCAAAATTAAGTTATTGACATATTCTTATTAAATGACAACTTATTTGCATTATGGTATGTTTTTTATAAGTTGTTTACATTTTAAGATTTTTTTATTTTGCTATGAAATGCAAAAACTTTGAAACTCAAAATAATATTTGTAGCATTTTTTTTTGCTTCTACTACTAATACTACTAGATAATATTTAAAATTATAGACTATTATTATAGCTTATTTTGTGAAATTAAAATAATTTAAAAATGTTTACAAAAAGTAATATTTGGCCAAAGGTCTATCTCTATATATGTATAAAACATTTAAATAATCCTATTCCCACAATAACTGGACATGCACACCATTCAATGCATTTTACTTTTCATTTAATATCAGTTTTTCCCAGTGTAATCATTTATAGTTGGCCTGTGTGATTCACAGATCTCTGTCCAGCTCCATTTATCTTTGCCCCGAGCCTGTGACTGTCACATCAGAGCTCCCCACAGGACAAGTCATTTTTACAGGCCACTAAGCACAGTTAAACACCTCCATTACACACCTGCTTTACCAGTGCACAGACCTACCATGCTCAGACCAGAAGATGGGCTTCCCTTCATAGTGATAGTACCTTGCAGATGCTTGATGGATTGGACACATCTGTATTCATAAAATGCTGTGTGCTGTGGGATTTCAGTGTGGAGTCACTATAGTCAGATCACAGACAGATTACTTGAAAGTTTGGAGTTTTTTTTTTGTATCCTCAAAGGCGTAATATCACAGTTGGGAAATCAAAGACAGTCGTGCTAAAGAATAAGTAATGCAGTCTTTTTTTATACCCCTGCTAAAGTATTCCAAGTATGAATCAGTCTCGAGAAGTGAAACTTTTTTCTTTTTTAATAGAGATGAAGTTTAGTGCTGAAGTTGTGGATTTGCATCTTCAAAGTGTTGTAGATCTCTGCAGAGAAGGATCAAGCACAAACTCGCAGAACAGCTTCCCAGCTTGTAAACAATATAACATGCTCATGGTTTTTGTGCGTTGTGAGACCACTGAGCCTGAATATTTGAAAGAACCTTTTAAACCATGATCTGTTTCTTTTATTTAATAGGTGCAGAATGAACTGTTGGCAGCACTGGCTCGCAAGGCGCAGACAAAATCAAGTAAGGATTCACCTGAGAGTGTTTTATTGCTTCATAAACTTGCAGTTTTGTTTGCTGGAGCAGTGTATTTCAGATTACATTCTTCAAATTGAACACTTTTTTTTTGAGTAATACGCATGTTTTATTGTTAATGTCCTGACAATGATGTAGAAAAAAATTGAATATAACTTTAAACAAGATTAATAAGATTTGTATTTATTCCATTGTAAAATATAAAATCTGAAAGGATGTGTTTCAACCAGCTGCGAATTGACTTATCCATTCCAACCAACAATTATTTTATGTATTTTAAATTAATTTTTCGATTATTTTTTAGATTAATCAATGAATCAGTAAAAAAAAGGAAAGGAAAGCATTAATTTTCAACCTTTTAATCAAAAACAACTAAAATCTTTAGGCACAAACATGTAGACCTTAAACATCCATCAGCTGCTATAATAATAATAATAATAAAATTGAAAGATATATATATATATATATATATATATATATATATATATATATATATATATATATATATATATATATATATATATATATATATATATATAGTTTTGACCCGTTTTCAGTCCAAAAATCCTGAAAAAAATCTTAAATCAAGACACATACTAGACAGTTGGAATAGCATAAGCAATTATGTCTTATTTTCTGAAAAAAAAAAAAAAAACAACTCAAAATTAAGTAATTGTTTACCTTAAACAAGCAAAATTATTTGCATCACTTAATTTTCTCAAGGCATTTTTCTTGTCTAGTAATCTTGATTTAAGATTTTTGGAAAATTTGGACTGGAAACAAGACAAAATTACTAGATAAGAAATGTTTAAAAGTGCAAAGTAACTGTACCTCCGCTGCGTTACTTCTGTTATTAACTCTTTCCCTGGTCAGTTTAAAATATTCTATCTGGCCACAGGGAGCGCGTTTTGTTAGGCGATCTTTATTTTAGAACATTCACTCTTAATGTTTTTGTGACGACGGGTCATGTTTGACATGTGACACTTAGCAGCCACAATATCGCTGTATGACAGATGTATCCCTTTTATTATGTTTTTCCGTTTTAATACAAAATATTCACACGTTTGCTCATCATGTGATCAAGTACCTAATATTCCAATTCACAAAAACGTGTGTGTTTTTGTTGTTAAAAGCTCAGTTTGAAGTTTTCACGTCATGCTTGTCAAACTGGATAACGAGTAAACACCAGCAACAGGGACATTACGTTCCTCACTTTAAAATGGAAAAAAAGCAGGATTCTGTTGTGATTTACCCTGCTGTTGCTCCCTTCCTCGCCATGTATCTCTCCTTTAACCAGAAAGAGAGTGCGTTTACTCCGCGCCATGCTCAACTAAAGTTTTTTTAAATTATCAATGCATCGCGCAACATGACGAGTCAATAATAAAATTTGTTGCCAACGCTTTTAGTAATCCCTTTTAATTGATTTGTTGTTGCAGCCCTAGTAGATTCAATTTTACATTAATGAATCTGATCAATAAAATATGGTCGATGTCACTTCCAAATATAAACGCGCCCAATTAACCTTATTTTACAATGCGAAAGTGCGCTCGTTTTTAAAATCTTTGTTATGGAATTTTTATTCAGTTATCTATGGGAGAAATGACCTGGAATAATAAATAGCAAACTCGGTCAAACTACTTGCTCTACAGACAAGTGTGTTCATGACTATTGTTACGACTTCATGATGTTAGACTAGGGGTTGAATTAAATAACATTTATATTGTGACAGTTTTTGTGTAATATGGGAGAAGAAGAACCATGCATTAAGCAAAATACTGCCAAAAAGAGAACAATTTATTATAAAAAAAAATCTAAGATATGCAGTAAATAGGAATAATGAATAATAATAATATAGTTAACACCAAATAACACAAAAAATAAATTATATACAATTTATAATAACAAAATAATCCAAAAACAATAAACCCTGCAGGGGAAGAGGACAAAAGTGGGGCTGAAAGGAAAGAAAATAACAAAATCAAAAAACAAACTAACTCAGTATAATCCTTTTACCTAACTGAAAATCGAAAGCAAGTCTTTGATATTTACACGCCCTAACTTACCTACTCTAAACAGAACCAAACAGAAAAATAGAAAGCCAGCACCCACTTAAACCCAAACCTAGGGTGTCTATACACATGTTCGTTAGGTGATGTATGGATGTATGTCACGTGACATCTACCTCTCCAAATCCCCGTAGGGAAAACAAAGAATTTCAGCAAATAATCTCAAATGAAGAATAAAGAAAAAATTAATGAAAATAAACAAGATGGCAATAACACCTTTTGGCAAAGCAATATCTGTACAAAAAAAAAACATAACAAAAGAAAAAACGGGAGGTAGATTAAAACAAAGAACAAAACAGGAACGCAAAAGCCTCTGTTCGGCGTCCCAGTCGTTGTCTTTTTAAAAGCCTGGTAAACACTCAGATTGGCCGCAGAAGCCGCCACATCACCCGAGATAATGATGATTGACCCTACAGCCAATAACAATCGAAAGGGGGTTGAAACTGTAAAACCGAAAGAGAAAGAGAAGAGAGACAGAGAGAACAGGTGCGCATATGTGCAAGAGAGGAGAAAGAGAGTGAAAGAGAGAGACACACACATAAAATTGAAGCTTAACAAGTAAACATAAAAAGTAGAATAATAAAACAAAAAAAAGTCAGTTTGCAACATCAAGCAGCATAACAATCTATGAATAGATTCTAAAAATCTAAAAATCTATGAATGTGAATGAGACCAGAAATCTCAAGCCAATAAGATTCCAATGGCTGCACCTGCTCATACATAAAAAGTAAGGTCAATAAAATAGTCCCTCCCCATTATTTGATTGACAGGTTTTCGTGTAATTGTCAGAAATTCAAAAAGTTTTGGCAGGAGACAAGCACAGAGACACAGAGAGACAGAGAAAAAAGAAACCAAAAATGTGACAATTGATAATGCTATTTAAATATGTTAGGCTCAAGCTTAGGCAAGACGTGGGAAATACATTTGCGAATGGATTTTGCTTTTTCATTTAAAATACGGCAGTCACTGTATATTCCAAAGGCAAAAATGCAAACAGTAAAATGAGTTTTGTAATTGGATTGTCACAATTCATGCATTGCATATTGAAAATGCAACTGAAAATACAATTTGCAATTGTGTTTGAAAATTGTTCAAGATATCCTTCCATATAAAGCAGCTTTTTAATTCTTATGGATTTATATTGGAGCATATTTTAGTTTATATTTTCAATTCAATTCAATTCAGCTTTATTTGTATAGCGCTTTTACAATGTAGATTGTGTCAAAGCAGCTTCACATAAATGGTCATAGTAACTGGAACAGTGTGGTTCAGGTTTTAGTGTTTAAGTTCAGTTCAGTTCAGTTTAGCTCAGTTCAGTGTGATTTAATCATTACTGAGAGTTCAAACACTGAAGAGCAAATTCATCAATGCGTAGCTCTACCAATCCTGAACCATGCGAGGCAGTGGCGACAGCGGAGAGGGAAAAAAAACTTCACCTGATGGGAGTGAAGGAAAAAAAACCTTGAGAGAACCAGACTCAGTTGGGCACGACCATTTTAATTTCTCCGCTGGCCAAAAGTCTTGTGCAGAACTTCATTCGCCGTGGTTTATGCTGGAAGATGGCCTCAATGAAGACTCGTCTGTCCCTGGAGCGTCGCTGGAATCAGACTCATGTTCTCCACTCCCCACGACCATCAGCGCAGCAGCAGCTCAGGATATGGCCTGGTCCCGGATATGGAATCCTTGGTATCATCACGTCGCTGGTCTTGGATCCAATCAGTGACTCCGCCTAATCTGAGGACCTCGGGATGAGTATCCCCAGGTGAAAATAGAGAATAAAGAGAATAATTAGCGTAGCTGCTGTTCATAGTGTATATAAGCAAGATGTAGAAGCCAGTGTGGAACCCGCTAGGTGATGCATTGAGTGTATGCTTTACTAAACAGATAGGTCTTTAATCTAGTTTTGAACTGGGAGAGTGTGTCTGAGCCTCGGACGTTATCAGGAAGGCTATTCCAGAGTGTAGGAGCCATGAAAGAGAAGGCTCGACCTCCTTTACTTGATTTTGCTATTCTAGGTACTACCAGAAGCCCTGAATTTTGAGATCTTAAAGAGCGAGTTGGTTCGTAGCGAGACAGAAGGTTGGTTAGATAAACAGGAGCTAGATTATTTAGAGCTTTATAGGTGAGAAGTAATATTTTAAATTCAATACGAAATTTAACAGGCAGCCAGTGTAAGGAGGATAAAATTGGGGTTATATGATCATATTTTCTAGACCTGGTCAGAACTCTGGCTGCTGCATTTTGTACTAATTGAAGTTTGTTAATAGAGGATGCTGGGCAGCCAGCAAATAGAGCATTACAGTAATCCAGTCTCGAAGTCATAAAAGCATGGACTAGCTTTTCTGCATCTGAGATGGATAGCATATTTCGTAATTTAGCGATATTTCTCAGATGAAAGAAGGCAGTTTTTGTGACATGGGATATATGGTTTTTAAAAGTTAGATTGCTGTCTAATATGACTCCCAGATCTTTTATAGTAGAGCTAAAGCTAACTTTGTATCCCTCTAATTGTAAATTGAGTTGCGAGATCTGCTGTGTACAAGATTTAGGCCCAATAAGTAATAATTCTGTTTTGTCTGAGTTTAAGAGAAGAAAATTGTTGGTCATCCAGTCTTTGATGTCTTTGATACACTTAGTTAGTTTAGAAAGTTCAGACGTCTCGTCAGGTTTAGTGGAAATATATAATTGAGTATCATCTGCATAGCAGTGAAAGCTGATCCCATGTCTTCTAATAATGTCTCCCATAGGTAGCATGTAAATTGTAAACAGTAAAGGGCCTAAAACTGATCCTTGAGGCACCCCATACTTTACTGGGCAGATTTGTGAAGGCTGTCCATTAAGATTTACAAACTGGTAGCGGTCAGTTAAGTATGACTTAAACCATTGTAGAGCCTGTCCCTGGACACCTGTAGACTTTAAACG